TGGCTCAGTGGTAGAGTGCTTGCCTTGCATACATGAGGCCCTGGGTTTGATTCCTCAGCACCACATAAGGATAAAAAAAAAAAGCCAGAAGTGGTGCTGTGGCTCAAGTGGTAGAGCGCTAGCCTTGAACTGAAAAGCTGAGGGACAGCACCCAGGCCCAGAGTTCAGGCCCCACGACTGGACCCACCCCCTCAAAAAAAATAGTTGAACAAAAATAATTAAATTCACGTATTACCATTGTAAACGACTAAGGTTTTGGTGTCTATTTTGTGTTTAGGCAAAACATGAGCTTAGACTTTTGAATTTTATTCATTCAGGGTATATAGTGATTTTGTTTTTCCATATCGTTAAGTAGTATTTAACAGCTCCATTTTAAGAATCTCATGGCCTATTGATCCACTCTAGCTGGCCACATAGATTGTTCTGAATTATATATTCTTTTTATAGTCTACTATTATTAAAAAATGTTCCAGGAAACATCTTTATACCTACTTATGGTTCCTTCTGTGAATAAATGCATAAAGGCTAGATTTGGTTTGCTCTATCTATCTATCTATCTATCTATCTATCTATCTATCTATCTATCTATCTATCTATCTATGGCAATTGCTGCTACATTTTCTCCACCTGTGTGGGGGTGTTTCTTCATTCCTTCATCCTTAATGGATAAGGTTTTTGTTTTGTTTTTATAGTGTTTTGTGAACCTGAGGTAAGAAATCTATTGCTTTAATTTGTACTTTTGATCACTAGTAATGTCATGTTTTCCAATGGCTATTATCTGATATTTTTCATTTTGAATTGCTTATGTATTTTCTTAGTCTGTTCATCTTTATTTCCTTATAGATCCATAAAAATTCCCTATGTATTTGTGTGACTGTTACATGTTTATTAAGCCTTCATGACTTTATGCGTTCTGTGGTATCATATTCACAATAGCTGTCACTTTTATGTGGCACAAGGACTTGAACTCAGGTTACTTGCTGGGCAAGCATTCTACCATTTGATCCTTGCCTCAGACTATTTTTCTTTAGTTATTTTCCAAGTAGGGTCTCACTTTTTGGCCAGGGCCAGCATGGACCATGATTCCATTTACACCTTCTGTGTAGCCCTATTACATCTAGCCTATTGATTGAAATGAGGTTTTTCCAGGCTGGCCTTAAACTACGACTCTCCCAATCACTGCCTCCCAAGGTGAGCTATTGAACTTGGCCTAATGATCTTTAAGAAAGGAGATGGGAATATTTTATCGAAGACCAATAATTCCAGGCTTAGAGATGTGAGTATAGGGCTGGAGGTGAAGATGTGGGAAGCCATCTAAAACCAGCATAGGGCAGGTTGAAGTGGAATAGGGATCTTGAAGGGATAAAAAAACACTAGAATCAACCATCACTGATCAAATGCACCTGTTACACAACCCCAGTAAGCCAGCCCCAAATCACCACCCTCATCAAGATAAAAAATAAGGGCTGTCATCACTCTCTGAGCACATGCTGGTATTACTCTAGGTGGTCTCATCTGATCCCTATACCACTCCTCTGTGAGCAGTACTGTCAGCATTCCAAGATCATGGGTGAGAAAAGTGGGGCTTACAGAGGTTACCTTGGCCAAAGCTGTCAGGAGCCAAACTGGTCTCAGAGTAATGGGTTCCTGAAAACAGCACAACTGAGAGTGAAGGCTGTGAGGACACTGTACACCCTCCACTAAGGGGAGAAGCAGCAGCCCACACACAACTGGTAAGGAAGCAGTGGTCGTTGACGTGAGAACCCAAGATCCTGCCATCTCTGAGGATTAGTTTGGTGCTCAGCATCTATAATCATTCAAGAGAAGGTTGATGTGTAGCCAGTAACACCACTATCATTTAACTATAGGTCGCTATATGGACAAAACTTTCTACTAAACTGCTATTTTCTTCAGTTAACTTACTACCTACCTTTGGTGAGAGCAGGGTAACTACTGTGGGCAACCTTCAATATTTACAAACTCAGTAATAAAAGTTGAGCAGTCTGTCCACAACCCAGTGGACTCTGAACACATTCTCTGGGGAGAAACATCCAATATAAAACAGCAGTTACCTTTGAGGGGACAAAGGCAGGAGGCAAGAGACTTACACTTGCTCTGTCAGGTCTAATTAGTTTTTAAAGAAAGACCTCACAAATTTCTGATAAAATGATTAATTTTAAAATGATGGATATTAAGCTGGGCTCCAGAGATTCATGACTGTAATCCTAGCTAACTCAAGAGGCTGAAATCTGAGGATCACAGATTGAAGCCAGACCAGTATGAGCAGGAGCTTGGGGCTCTTTACCTCTAATAAACCACCAGAAAATTGGAAGTGGTTCTGTGGCTCAAAGTGGTAGCACACTAGCCTTGAGCCAAAAAACTCAAGGACAGCATGCAGGCAGAGGTCAAGCCCCACAACGAAGAAAGAAAGAAGGAAGGAAGGAAAGAAGGAAGGAAGGAAGGAAGGAAGGAAGGAAGGAAGGAAGGAAGGAAGGAAGGAAGGAAGGAAGGAAGGAAGGAAGGAAGAAGGAAGGAAGGAAATTGTGAAAGATGCATCCAAATATTGTTTCTTAGCAGTAGATTAAGGACTTAATGCATTTTCTTCCTTTAACTTCCCTACATATCCAAAACTTTCTCTATTAAGGATCTGGCATAATTATGAGAAAGAACCCTAGAATTTTAAAGGTAAACAGAACCTAACAGGCTCCTAAGACATGGCTAAACAGGTTATTACTTGCATCTCATTAGTAACAGGAGCAAAAAGCTGTATCATCAGAACAATGTGGCTCATAATACTAATGTAAAGAATAAACCAAATGGAGAATGTATCCATAAATGAAGAATGTTTGCATGACTTTTTAAAAAAATCAGCTGTATACTCACAAACACATACACAAACCGTGCTATAAATAAAAAAAGAAACCACTAGTTGAGTGCTGGTGGCTCAGCCTGTAATCCTATCTGCTTAGGAAGCTGAGATCTGAAGATCCCTTGACCAGATCAAAGCTAGCCCAGGCAGAGAAGTCCCTGAGATTCTTATCTCCAATCCACCACTCAAAAACCCAAAGTGGAGCTGTGGCCCAAAGTGGTAGTGTCAGCCTTGAACAAAAGAGCTCAGGGACAGTACCCAGGCCTGGAATTCAAGCCCCATGTGTGTCAAGAAAAACAAACCAAACAAAGCAGAGTACGGTGGAAACTTTCATTTTAACTTCATACTTAAAAAAAAAAGAGAGATTTAAATTTCTTCAGTAGGTGCATTTACACTTTTAAATTTCATTTAAGGCTTTTCATTAGCCTCCTAAAATGATAATTAACCTTCTAACTCATATGGGCGTGTACCGGTATTTAGAAAATCTCAGCTCTTAGACACACTGTATCAGCTGCCCTGTGGACAGCCATGTGGACAAGTCCTTTCATGCCTACTGCATTGACAGGATTCTTACAATTTTCAAATAAACAAACATCACTTCTTAAAATATTAGTTCCACTGCTGGGCCCAAACATCCTAGACTACTGAAAAGATCCTGAAGTCAGGCTCAGTTGAAAGGAAGCCTTAAACCTTGACTCTCTGAGAGGCACCACATGGAAGCCATGGCTCTGGTTAGATTCACACGGTCACCATAGAGATTGCATTATCAGTGCACCAAGCAGGGACCAGCTCCAGAGCAGAAAGTCAGACCCTGGCTTTTCACCTTAATATTATCTAGGAGTGTTCCCTTGTACACAAGAGGGAGATAATTCCCGAGACCCCTTCTCTGCTTCTAGCCTTTAAACCTAACATTGGAATGAAAAGCAAATGGAAAGGTTTCTCCCAAAGCTGCTGCTCCTTTTCTGGATCATTACACAAGCGGACTTGCAACAGCTGAGAATGAGGACTACAGCTAATCTGAGAGCAAGCTTGTGTGCAGTGATCCACACAAATGTCTGGTGGCTTAAAACAGACCACCTTTTAAAATGTTTGGCACTTCAGATCCTCAGTATTATTCTTGTTACAGGAGACTAGTCTTTTATAGCAAGTTCTTCACTTTAAATCATTTCAAACCAACTATTTGTGGACAACATCTAGCAGTTATTCATCAAGGAATGAGTTGTTATGGGGGTTTTCTAGGGCTCTTTGAGTAAAATACCAGGCAAAGCATTCGAAGTCCAAAGCCAAGGCGGCAGCAGGGCTGGCTCCTCCTGAACCCCTGAGACTCATGGTGATATCTTCTGTCTTTTAAGGACAGCAGTCAAACAGGCTTAGAGATAGTCTACCCTAATGATATTTTCATTTAACCTCTTTAAAAATATTCTCTTCAAATAGTCATATTTTGAAGTAACTGGGACTTGGACATATGGAGTGTGAAGGACATGATTCAGTTTTTAATGGCTATAGTTACCTTTCTTTCACTCATGTAAGTATATTTCTTACAGATGGTTGCCAATAGCTCATGTCTGTAATCTTAGTTACTTTGGAGGCTGAGATCCAGAGGGTGACAGTTCAATTCAGCTTGGGCAGAAATGTCTAAGAGACTCCATCTTTAAAAACAAAAAAACCTTGTAAAAGCAGTGCTAGAGGTGTGGCTCAAGAGTACCAGCTGAACAAGCATGAGGTCCTATAGTACCAGGAAAACCAAAATTAAAAAAAAAATTAAATGTAAAGCTTAGGAGCTAATGCTGAGTTTATGAGAATGTAAAAGCCAAAACACAAGCCTGCATCATGTACATGTAAAAATAAATCTATGCTGGCGCCAGTGGCTCATGAATGTAAGCCTAACTACTCAGGAGGCTGAGATCTGAGGATCGCGGTTCAAAGCCAGCCCGGGCAGGAGAGACCGTGAGACTCCTATCTCTAATAAACTACCAGAAAACCGGAAGTGGCGCTGTAGCTCATGTGGTAGAGTGGTAGCCTTGAGCTGAAGAGCTGAGGGACAGCGCCCAGGCCCAGAGTTCAAGCCCCATGACCGACAAAAAAAATAATTAAAATTTAAATAAATAAATAAATAGATCTACTTCCCACCTAGGTGGCAATTTAGGATTTATTAAAAGACATTCAGAGAACTTGGCCCTAGTGACAGTCAAGTCACTAGGCAAGAAAAATGTAAAAGCCAAGATTCACTACACCACTCAACGGTCATTTTCTTGAACAGCTGACATACCAAGTGGTTATTCTGCAATGAAATGATGTTTCTAGGCCTGTCTATTAGGACTCTGCACCCTTCTCCAAGCTTGTTGAGGCCAGCTCTGGTCAGAGAATCTGCATTTTCACAAGCACCAACCTACCCTACACAGTCTGCAGATCTCAGCCTCTGCTCTGACAACAGGCTTGCTCTTCACCCAGGGGAAGAGCCATGCTCATCTATGCAAAACTGAACACACTTTCATTTTATATGCAGTGCAATGTTATATGCAAAAAAACCATTCTTTGTCACACTGATGATCAATACCCTTATTTGTCTGATCTATAACTAAAAATCTGACAAATCATTTATCTATTTAAAATAAACCCAAAAAACGCTTATAGGAATCAAATGAACAGTTATCTCCAAGCAACAGATTTCCCCCTCTTCACTAGTTAAATCAGTATCTACTGATGGGGAGATGAAATGTGACAATGATATTCATTAACAAGACTAACCTTTTCCTTTTAAGTACAAAGACTGACTTTGAATGGCAGATAGCTAATCTTTACCTGCTATCAAGCACTAAAGGTAAGCAAAGCAAGAGCACTATGGAAATTACATTCTTCTGTAAAGATCAGCCACACAACCTGTGTGACATTAGTCCAAGACAATGGAGAAGCAGCCTGTGAGGGCCTTGCTCCTTGGCCATACACCAGCATGCTTCTCTCTGTTAATTCTGTGGTCTTTTCTCTACTGGCTCCATTTAACCTGGTCTTCCTGGCTCAGGGTAGCTATTTGGCTGGACTGTAATGATTACAGTTCCAAAAGTGCTAATTGAGTCCAAAGGAAACACGCAGCTAACAGACATGTTCTCCTGGTACGAAGGTCTTTCAGTAGGTTGCATATAGATATATATGCTTTAATAGCAGACAATGCTTTGGTCTTCTTTAGCCAGAGAATCCTGGCTGTGGCTATCTCTTTTTCATGTGGGTCCTCATGTGTGCAGCAATTGCACCTGCTATTTCTGCATTTTTCTTGTTCTGGCCAAAATAATCTAGAAATTCGCCATCTGGTCCAATCAAGTACATTATTATTGTATGATCCACCTGCAAAGAGAAGGGAGGAGTATGTGACATAAGGGTTATTGAAGTGAGCCAATGAATACATAAACAGGGTAAGTTTCACATTCATGCATAGCCATTGTAGCATCTATTATTTATGCAATGGGCTTCTAAGTCTATTACAGGAAATGAATACCTATGGACATCCAAACTCTATGTTGCACTGGTGACTATTGCTTAAAATGTCAGTTACAACTTGGTTTGTTTGGTTCAATCCTTAAATATACTCACCCACAGAGCTGCTGAGAGAACAGCCCCCTTAATGGTTGCTACAGGCTTTCATAATGTGTTCAATGCTTGAGTAAGGCTGGTTTGGAAATACTTTAGATTTTTGAGGGAAAGTGTCACAGCTGAGCCCTTTTCTACATTATAAAGAGATGCCAACTGAAATTGAAAGTGTTGAAAAAAATTAATTTCCATAGTAAGTTCTCAGGTAAGCTTCTATGTTTTTAGAAAGAACTGGTTCTCATTCATTACTATCTAAATTGAGCATATGATGTTTTACGAGAAGCCAGGAAATTAATAGTTTTAATTATGTAATCTACAAATCTTAATACAATATTTAATGCCCACATTAGTAGTTCAAACGAAAACTAGAAGATGTGTTTTTGTCCTTTAATTAATGTATATATGTTGCACTGACAACCAATCCTACTGGAAGCACACTGGAAACTCCTCAGTGGCCAGGAATGCCATACTTTGAGCTCTCTTCAATTTATCAATTCATCTATTCCCCTGACCAAGATCTTAAAGTGTTCCCAGCTCCAACTTAAGTTTAGTCATTAATCTTTCTAGTTAGCTACTTCCAAAAAAACATCTAGCTTTAAGAGACAAGATTTAGTATTTTAAGCCCTTGGGCATCTCTTGCAGGCTCAACTGCTATTTGGGAAGACAGGAAGAAAGGCAGGAATGTGATCACACATACCAAACTGGAGACACTCCCCCAAATATGCCCAACACACATTACATGTCTGTGAGGTTATATCATTCATATATATATATACATACACACACACACACATGCATGCACACGCGCGCGTGTGTATGTGTGTAGATAGCAGATGGAAAGAACTATTTGTCTGTCCCATAAGGAAAGAATGCTGCTGAGAGCTCAGACAGCTGGTGACTTCATGTATTGTGGAGAATTTCCTGCAGGGAGCAGAAAAGGGATGGATGTTTCTCCACAATTTGACAGAGGAATCAGAATTAATTCTCCGGTTCTCCTCCAAGCCATATTCTGCTGCTCACATCTCTTGCCTCCATTTCTCCCTTTCTTTTTTTCTCTATTTTCTTTCTCTCTTAAGAAACAGAATTGTAGAGTGTTGGACTCTTTTTCAGAGTAGTCTAAATATAATTTTTTTTCTAGTATCCAATAAAAAGTTCTATCTCTATCAACCTTTTCAGTGGTCACATTTTTGGGCTATGGCTATAGCCAATGTATGTACAGAATTCTTATCATATCATATAGAATTCTTTAAAGTTCTAGTAGTTTCTCATATGGAATGAAACTTGCAATTACTGAAAAGTCCTGTCACATGTCATCTCAGCCCTATCCAAACACAACTTTCTGAAGGAGGTTACATAATGACACAGCAAACCTAGCATGTATCTAACTGATCTAATTCAAAGACTTTTCTCACCACGCTGTTTCCATCTTTCCCTACTCCCACTGGAGAAAAGCAAATCAAGTGTTTTATCATACATGTTTCTTGTCTAAAAAGGTTAACATGCATACTACACTTAAGGGTATCTGGGCTGTCAGTTTCTTGTGAACTCCTCAGAGATACTCTGTATTTACTACTCTTCTAAGTTAAAAAATATATTGATCATTGGTGTGTATCAGCATAGACACTGGTAGCTTTTACAAAATGGCTGCTTGGCTTTCAGTCCCTTCTCTTTGCTAATAATGCTTTAGGGTCCATCTGTAGGAGGGATTTCCAAAAGAGGAATCTTTAGACCAAAGCAGCTGACAGGCTGCCCTCTGTTAACAACGCATGGGAAGTGCGGGTAGTTTCTGACCTCTTCCATAGTGCATTTCCTGCTGATCCAATTTTGACAATATATTTTACAATAGATTTTTCAGCTAACTAATTGATAAAAATTAGCATCTCATTCAGTCACATTTATTATGAAACTGAGCATCTTCTCCTAGCTTTGAAAGCCATGTATTTGTGTTCTCTTTTGAAAAGCATCTTAATACTTATATTGGATCTGTTATGTACAATAGTGCACAGGTTTTTTTTTTTTTAAGGAATCTCAAATATATGGCATGCCCAGCTCATGTTATCACACTAAAGATTCCATACAAAAGCTAGTTTATGTTTTGTTGCTGTTGTCTGATACTATGAAAATGTCATTCCATTATGACTCGACATTCATCTTTAAGGGAGCACACCATTCCTTGAAGGCCCTTAAATCTTAGATGTTTTCCATACCATTCTGCACATGAAAATTTGTGGTCTCCCACAATTAATGACAACCTAAGACACCAAGAGTGTCTCCCCCTATTGGTTCTCTTAGCAAATGTGCAGCAATGAACTCATTGATTATTATATATCAACACAGGTAGGGTTTAAGATGTACTCAAGAGGGTCAAAGAAGTATCCATAAGATTTACCTTTTGCATGTAGAATTTTAAGATTAAAAAATTAAAAATTGTGGCCTGAATTGCCTAAGTTATATGTGAAATGTCAGGTACTAAAACTGTTTGGTTTGTCTATAACCTTGCTGGCACCTAACTGTCCATGCTGACAACAGACAGACAACATGAAAAGTGCGAGTTCTTACTACATTGAGACTACCCAGCAGTGACTACAGAATTGTCAAGGGACAGTTGACAGAACAATCAGACATATGACAGCAACTGGATCCAAATCTCATTCACTGGTGAGCAGTGCTTTAGTTTCAGTAAAACTCTCCTAACACATAGAATGTCTTTAATTTGCTCAGTTTTATGTGTAAAATTTCTTACTGAAAAATACCTTACTGACAGAGTTAGGAGCTATAAAAACAACAGACTAAGGGGTATTAATTTGTGTACACCATTTAGGAAAATTCATTTAAGGCTTGAAGTCAGACCATCCTGACTTCAGTTGGTCAGTTAAGAACAAAACTAGTTACAGGGGCTGGGAAGGTGGCTCAGTGGTAGAGTGCACGCCTTGCATGCATGAGGCCCTGGGTTTGATTCTTCAGCACCACATAAACAGAAAAAGCCAGAAGTGACGCTGTGGCTCAAGTGGTAGAGTGCTAGCCTTGAGCTGAAGAGCTGAAGGACAGCACCCAGGGGCAGAGTTCAGGCCCCACGACCAGAAAAATAACAACCCGCCCCCCCCAAAAAAAAAACTAGTTACATTAACTCTGCCTAGAAATACAGAAGAACTAAGTGCCAATGCCTATAACCCTAGCTATTCAGATTATCTGAGACCTGGTGGACCGCAGTCCAAGCCCAGTCTGGGGAGAAAAGTCTGAAAGACTCCATCTCCAATTAGCCAGCAAAAAGCCAGAGTAGAGCTGTGGATCAAGCGGTAGAACTCTATCATGTGTGAACAGGTAAAGAAGCTTGAGAAAGCCTTTTTCGATGGTTTCCTCTCTTGGCTGGTGCAGCAAAGAAGCTGCACAAGGGTCTGTCCACTTTCCTAAAGGATTTCCTTAAGAATTGTTCCTGAAGGAAGATTTTTCTCTTAAGCTTTTTTTCTCATAATTCAAGTTTCTCAATGCTACGAGGCACCAGACCTGGGAGGCATGATTACTGTGTGGGCTTAATTAGGGCAGAAGGATCAAGATTACTTTTAATTTAGGCATAGCCCATGGGGGAACATAATGTGCTCTTCAAGAATTTGCAGTAATCTCAGGTTTCCTTTCATCTTGGATGCTGTGTGAGTATTTCAGATCTAGGAGCCAGCCACAAATTACAAATGGAGTGTGTACTTACTATGTAGTCCTCATCTTCATCCTTGGGTCCAGGGCTATAATACACTCTGTATGCTTTGGCCACTTGATCAATCTCCTTTTTGGTGCCAGTCAAGCCAACAAGCTTGGGAGAAAACTCTAAATTCAAAAAAGAAAACAGTACTTACTAGACACTACGTTGAAAATGAACTATACAACTTATAGATACAGATGAGAGGGAAAAACTTGGGAGAGTAAGGGAAGAGGTGACACTGTCCAAAAACAAATTTAATCTTTCCCTGACTTATGCAATTATAATCCCTTGAACATCACTTTTATAATGGCAATAAAAATATAAAAAAATCAAAAAATGAGAAATAAGCAAGTAAAATAACACCTCTACTTAAAAAGTAATAAAGCAGCCATACTTTTACTTCTTTTCTGAATCCCCAAACACTTGATTCAAAAAAAAATTCATATAGAAAAAATAACAATTCCCCTCAATAATGTATGTTTCATCTTTTTATGGCATCTACCAAGTATCTGTACTGAATTCATTATTGTTACTTAACTAACCTTTATAATTAGTTTTAAAATACATATAGTAGGCCATCCACTGGTGGCTCACACCTGTAATCCTAGCTACTCGAAAGCCTGAGATCTAAAGATCACAGTTTGAAGCCATCTGGGGTAAGGAGTCTGTGAGATTCTTATCTCCTGATAACTAGCAAAAAAAGCCAGAAGTGGTAGAGCACCAGGCTTGAGTGAAAAACACTAAGGAACAGCACCTAGGTCCCGAGCAAGCCTTAGTTAAGATACAATGAACTTATATGAGAAGAAAATTCTGATTCACAATTAATATAGCATAGCAAAGTATCTGCATCTTTTTCTTAGTACACAATCTCCACAATCTTAGTATAGGTATCATGTTCTACTTGTGTGACAAAAGCTGAATAATATTCATCCTTTCAAATCAGCAATTGTTAATAAACTAAGGGCTAGGGTAAGCAACTAGGACTAAAGGTAAATCATTGATATATCATGTATGTACTGATTCTGGAATTTACATAGGTGGAAGTCACTTAAAACAACTGGATTTATCTGGTAACTAAAATGACAACCCAACATCCAATAGTAGCATCTTTTTCCAAATGTACACAACCCAATTTTTGTTCTTTAACTCATTCTAAACTAGAAAATGACTGAAGCAAAGAAAAAGCAGGGGTTTGTCTTTGCTTTTCAGTCTTTGAGGAAGTAATCAGAGGTGAAGAAAGACTTAGTTAGTGCACATCCAATATTGTTTTATTTACCAAATTGCAAAATGGCAATATTTTCTTACATACTAACTTAAAAATTTCAAGCACTCAAGATGCAACTAGTAGTGTTTATTTGCTGTTGAAGAATATTAACATAAAGGTTTGCATTTAAGTATAGCTACTCAGAGGTCTCTTCATTTAGAGCTATTATGATTTAATGTGACAGAAAACAATTGGTTAAATAACATGCAAATTATAGATTATGTATTAGAGGTCACTTATAAATAGCTGGTTTGTAATGCTTTAGAAAAAACTATTATTTCCAATATTTCTGACAAACTTGCAAATTATAGACATAAATTATACAGCTGGGTCCATTTGTTCTGTTGATTTCACAAGGTTCTGCAAGGTTGAAATGAATTGATACCTTTAAAGCTGCAAGGAGTGGTACAGAAGGATCACGAGTTCAAGGCCAGCCTAAGCTATTCAGCAAATTCCAGGTCAGCCAGACTGGGATACAGGGTAAGGCCCTGTTATAAAACAACAACAACAACAAAAACATTTCCCCCTAAAAAGCTGCACAAACTAAATAGGATATAAAGTATCATTAATAAAACCTACCTTTAACATAATCTGCGATAGCTTCTTTTGTATCCCTTTCTGGGTCAATGGTGATGAAAAGCGGAGTTAAATTTGGCAGAGTTGGAATACTATCTGAAAGAAAGTCCCCATCAGTACATGGTAATACTGGAAGGGAAAAGACAAAGCAAACCAGCAATGACAGGGGAGTGCAACAAGTGCAAAGCATCAGGGTGACACAGGGCCCGTGAGATCTGAGCTGAGAGAATGAGAAGGGGATAGAGAAGCAGCGCCACATGCTGTCTATGCTAGAACCAATCCAATCCAATCTAATACCAGGCTGGCATATAAGTACTGGTATCTATAGTATATGCTATGTTTGTACTTTCTTCTTTATCCTATTTCAAGGGCAAGATAATACTCTTCATAAGGAGAGAATACCCTCAAACAATTCTGAAAACAATTATTCTAAATGGCATTAATTAAAGACTACGGATCATTCCCAATATCTAAATGTAACCATTAGGCACTGGGGAAAAGGCAATAGGTAGTCTGCAATACAGGAAGGCCCAGGCCATACTGACTCTTTGAAGTGACTAAGCATCAGAGCAAGCTTCTCCACCAGAGGGTAGGGAGTAAGGCCAGAGAAAGCAAAGCAACAAGCTAAACGCTGAGATTCATGTTCTTTCAGACTAACAACGTACAACAGTCCCCTGCAACCTAATACCAGAATGTAAAAAACCACATGACATAAAGTAAGCATCAACAGTGTAGAGGTAGTGATGCTTTTCTTACCTATTTCATCCACAACTTGAATCATTTTTTCTAGTTCTTCTGGACAGATATCAGGGCAATGAGTGAAACCAAAATAAATCAGTACCCACTGACCCAGGTAATCCTTGTCAGTTTTGGGCTCTCCAGCATGAGTTGTGAGGGAAAATGGTCCCCCAAGTAAAGGCTTTCCAATGCTTCGCTGCCGTTCCTTCTCCAGCTCTTAAAAGAGACACATATACAAACACAGTCATTCTGGCCAGAGCTAATCAAATATTGGCATATGGTAGCACTATACTAAAACTGGAGGAAGGGGAAATAAAATATAGAAATACTCCTAGTTTTCAGGAAGCTAACAAGAATCTTTTCCAAACCAAGCATAAATAAAACAAAATGCTACGATACTGAGTAAGTACTATGAAATGGTAAAGATACTTTCCTCTTTAAAAGCAGTTCAGTCGTAAACCATTACAATGTAAGGCTGCTGTGGGGTAGGATGCTTAAGTAGGCAGGAGACCCTGAGCCTGACATATTGAGGAGGCAGGGGAAGTGGCAGTAGTGATTGGCCTTAGCTATGTACAGGGTATTGGTGAAATAAAGGAAACAGAGATCTTTGGAGAAAGTGTAAGATGAGCTTGTTTTTCAGTAATATGGGGTCTGAACACAGGGCCTTGCATTTTCTAGGTAAGTACTCTACCACTTCAGACACACCCTCAGCTATCTATTTTAGTTATTTTTTAGGTAAGGTCTCATCTTTGCCTGGGCTGGCCAGGATTTGCCAGATCTCCACCTCTCAAGTGACTGGGATTGGAGATGTCTATCTTTTTATGCAGAAGGAAGGAAAACCTCAAATAATATTGGAGACATGTCAAAAGGACAAAGAAGCCTGCCTGAAGAGTCTCTCACTAGCTAAGCTGGGTACTCTGAGTATCAACATAAAGAAAATAATGGATCATAACTCATGGAATATATAAAAAAAGCTATGAGTCCATACTGAAATAAGTTCAGAGACTGATGGGAAATAGGACATACAAATATACAAAACCAAATACATATTTGTAATCATAACTTTTCAAGAAGCCTAATACACATCATAATCAAATGACCACATTATCAGTAATGGGACAAGATGAACCCAAGAGGCACCTGACTCTATGCAATAATGGGCTGCAGCATTCTTTCTGTGATATTCCTGCCAAAATGTTGCACCAGTAAACATCAGACAAACCCTAACTAGGGGACACTTTATGAAATAACTAGCCTGTAATCTTCAAAGTTGTTAAGGTCATGAAAGCCATGGCAAGATCATGAAATTCCTGTAAAGCTTAAGAGCTAGGTACAAATTGAATTAAGGAGACCAGAGTCAACTAGGAATGTGTGGCTATGAACTGGCCTCATTTGCTATAAGAAGAATCAAGTGAGTAGTCTGATTCTGATAGATATATCTGTGCTTGTAGGAAATATACAATATAAAGCATTTGGAGATGATGAAGGATCATGTCAGCAAATATTTAGAACACTTTTAAGATTGTTTCGTTGTAAATTTTTGTTTTTTTTGGGGGGGTAAGGGGTCCGGTCGTGGGCCTGGGCGCTGTCCCTCAGCTCTTCAGCTCAAGGCTAGCGCACTACCACTTGAGCCACAGCACCACTTCAGGCTTTTTTTTTTTCTGCTTATGTGGTGCTGAGGAATCGAACCCAGGGTCTCATGCACGTAAGGTAAGCAAGCGCTCTACCACTGAGCCACCTTCCCAGCCCTGTAAATTTTCTATCTAAAACAAATATTAATATAGGTAAAATTCAAAGAAGTTGCTTATTTTAGAATTGTCAGAAGCTAGTGCATTTCCTAACATTTCAACTTCTGAAAATCTACTTTCTTGTGCAACTAAAAGAATTCAGTAAGTGTAACATTATACCAATAAAATTATAATTGTTATACAAATGTTATTCAAGAGTCATCTACCTATACTATATTTATATACAACTCATATTGTCCTATGAATTCTCACACCCAGATGCATATATTTTCCTTTATCTAAGAACAGTATCAGATTTAAAATAGTATGTTTAAGATTTACTGGAAACTTCTAAACCAAATCTTAAAAACTTTTGAATAGTCACTACAATGTTTCAGGATGCTACATCAGATCAGTATGCTGGCCCTCTGTCATTCAGGTTTATAGGATCTACTTACACTAAGATCCACATCTGATGATTCAGGCAGTCTTCACAAATCCCAAGGGGAGAGGCTGTCCCTTGGTACTAACCTGAGATTTTCCCTCTGGACTGGCAGAAACTTATGTAGAAAAACTCTGTATTTGTCTGTTCCCTGTCACCTGCACCTGTAGGACTGGGCTAAATTTTATTCATCTTTGCATTCTCTGGACCTCATACTGCCACATTCAAATCTGTTCATGTCTTTAAAGACTTACAGCTTAACAAAATTTAAGTATATATCTAGATCTAGGAAAAGTAAAGTGTCAATGGAACATGTGAAATTGAAAAAAAAAACTCTTTAGTTTTTAGTAGATAGTTTTGTGCTTCTCCCTACTCAGTTTCTAATTATGTATCTACAGCTATACAGATACCCTTTTATCCATTTTATTAGCATATATTGACTGTGAAAAGTAATAGGTTTCACTGTGAGATTTTCATATTTGTATATTCACCCTTTCCATTACCCAGTCTTATCTTCTCTCCTTCCCCCTTGTCCTTTTCCACATCTTAACAATTCCCCTCAATTCTACTTATTAGGGAAATCACGAGCTATTTATCTTTCCCAGTCTTGGCTTACTTTGCTTCACATGATAACTCTGTTTCACCCATTTTTCTTCAAATAACATTAATTTCAGTCTCCCATGTGGTTAAAATTTGATATATATGAAATGATTATATAAAATGTTAATGTAAGGGAAACTGGGTAAAAGATAGTGACAATCTTCTATGTCATCTCTGCAAATTTTTAAAAAATCTTACACAAAGAAAAAAAGATGTCAGTCTATAGTCAGGAAATATTTTATTCAGATCTAGCAAGATATGTACCAGATGTAACCACATATGCACTTACTCTCTGTCTTTTCTTTTTTGAAGTACTTCATTCCAGCCAATAATGCTCCTCCAACAGCAAAAGTGAATGCTAAAGACTTCCAAGAAACAGGCTACTGGGGCAGAGATTTCAAAATAAAATATTAGAAATAAACATTTAACCATGCTAAATATTGCAGGAATTTTTAATATACAGGTACACAGGCCATGATCTTGTTAAATATGAAAAATGCTTCTGTTTATTGCTAAATAAGAAAATGCTGACAGCGGATATGGTTCTATCTGAACTCTACAGACAGTTACAAAGACACTCATTTCCAGAGGAAATTTCCCCACATTAGTTTCTGTTCCTTCAGAAAATCAACCAAAAGAAAGGCAAGTATTATGACTGTCACTATGTGCGAACCTAACTACAATGACGATTTAAAAAATAATTGCTGGGCGCCAGTGGTTCACACATGTAATCCTAGCTACTCAGGAGGCTGAGATCTGAGAATCACGGTTCAAAACAGTCTGGGCAGGAAAGTCTGTGAGACTTTTATCTCCAATGAAACACCAGAAAACCAGAAGTAGAGCTGTGCCTCAAGTGGTAGAGTGATTGCCTTGAGCTGAAGAGCTCAGGGACAGTGCCTAGGCAGATTTCAAGCCCCACTACAGACCAAAAAAAAAAAAAAATTAATTACCAGCATGTGTTGATATCAGGTATATAAATAAGCCATAAAATGTGGTCAATGCCCAGAAGAGCCAATGTAATAGGAAGTATGTCTAGAAGTGGGCTCTCCCCTCCCATGATTGTTTTACTGGGGGGTGGGGAGTTGAAGATAGGACTTCTAACTTGCAAGATGGAGTCTCAAACACTTGAACCCTGTCAAACACTTAAACCCTGCCCCCAGATCTTTTTCAATTCTATTTTTCATGTAGCCTGGTGGTTTTTTCCTTGGTCTCATCTAAGCTATCCTCACACCTATGGCATCTTCACTTAGCTGGGATAACAGATGCTTATATGGACGGTTTGCTAAGATTAGGGTCTCCATAATTTTTTGCTCTAGGTAGCTTGGGAGACTGAAAAGTCTCCCAAGTAGATGGGATGGCAGCCTTATGAGGCTTCTTACGAATTGCATGAGTTTTACTTCACTGCATTTTCAAGTCCTAAGGCAGGTAAGACCTAGCTCATTAACCTTATCCTAGCTCAGAGAACTCAATTACCTATCACTACAGTAATGGCTCTAAATTCTTTTGTGTGAGTACTAGAACCAGACAACAGACAAGAAAAAGGCAAACAACCTGCAACTACTATCTACTTTTTGTTTCAATTTCAAGGTATACATGGGAGATTCAAATGACAGAAATTCTAAGTAATGACTCTTTAATCACAGTAAAGTTAAGGCAGGGACCCTTAAGAAAACAAGAACAGAAAACCTGGCACAAGTTAACATCCAAACCTACGTATCTAATCCATGTGGAGAAGCAGTAGGTTCTAAAGCTTCCTTGAGGATTGGGAGAGAAAGCAAACCCGGAAACACGGACCTAATTCCAGGGACGGATGAGAAGTTCCTTCAAGTCCCAGTTTCCAAGCAAAAAATTACAAGCCCTTTGAGAGCTACTCATTCATGAAAAGCATTTCGGGGTGTCTCGTAGAAAGGAGAGTCTCAGAAGGTGAAAGGTGTGGCAAGGATTTTAATAGAAGAGGATCGGAGTCAGAAGAAATAGAAACATTTCCTCGCTTGATGCAGGATATGGGAATTCAAGACTCGAAATTGCTATCCCTGACTGTAGTTGTTTTAATTTTTTGAGCAGAGAAAATACACAAGGTCATATCTAGCAACCCCTAGTGCTTAGGACAAAGGTTTTTTTTTTTTTAGGGGGAGGCGAGCCCAGTCAGGCTCAAACCTAAGATACCTTAACCTTCAGGACCTCCTTTTGTCAGATATGCCTTTCATTCCTTCTGTCTTTCCGTCATTCGGGAATGTTTCTCAGAGGTGTTTTTTTTTTTAATTATCTTTTTACTATTTCAAAAGAGAAGGCAAGTTTGTAAAACCCCTCCAATGTCTCAGTTCTTAACACCCAAGAGTAGGTGTGGCGGGAGCTGGACTGATTCCCCCCCCCCCAGTTAAAATTCTGGGTCTGATCTTTTTGATATGAGATTTATAAAAAAATAAACCTCATCTCCTGTCTCGTGGATCCTACCTGGCCCACCACCACCCAGGTAGGCAGGCCAGGAGTTCTCGCGTCTGACGATAAAATGGGAAGGATATGCCAGCCGGCCTGCGTGAGCAGGGCGCCCCGGGGAAACACTCACCCCGGGCTTGGAGGGCCGTGTCGGGTCCCTGCGGTCCCCCGGCTCCCGCCCCGGGGAGGTCGGGGGCGGCGGCAGGCGGGTGCCGAAGGGCCTGCTTCCCACGGTACCACCGGGCCGCGCGGAGGCTCGCCGCCCCCCTTCCAGCCGCGGGCGGCACTGGCTCATCCAGAGTCTCCCGGGCCTCTCTGCCAGACCCCAAAGCCCACATCTGCTCTGCCAAAGCTGGACCCCGGGAGGCCGCATCATGCGGCCGGCTGCTACAGCCAGCCCCGCCATGAGCCGAAGCGGAGGAAACCGCGTCTCCTTTCACCCGCCCCGCCACTTCCGGCGCGGCTTCCGCTTCCTCCGGAAGTTGGGCGAGGCCACTCTAGCTCTCGGTTCAGCTCCGCTTGGTGGTGGCTGTCATCGCCTTACCGGCCGTGAGCGATCCTGGGCTTTGGCGGCGCCCACCGGCGCGGGGGTAGGGGTGTACTGGGGACGAGGAGGCCTGGAGGATTCCTGGCTGCGTGGCTGGGCCGGGGGCTGGAGGTCCTGACCTCTGGGGGCACCGGCTTTAGCGGGGATCGGGGGGGGGGCGTATCCGGCCCCAGACTCTGGGGTGACAGAGAGTCCTTTGCACCCCAGGACCGGGACGGGGTGGGACAGACGGGCCCTTTCCCCCCACTTTGTCCTGCTTATCCTGTCACCTCGTCGTCCTGCCTAATCTAGAGGTCGGCTTGTTGGCATCCCCGAGGTAGGAGTCGCCCCGTAGAGATTGAAGTAATCCCTGGCATATAATATATATATAATATATAATATACATAATATATGTGATATAATATATATGATATAATACATTATATATAATATAGAAATATATATCATATATGATATATCGTAATTATATCATATATGATATAATTATATATAATATATTATATATGATATATATCATATAACATTATATATGATATATATATTGCTAAGGAGGGTAATTTGGGTGGTGAAGGTGGTAAAAACCGACTTAAGTAATGACCGAGGGTGCCCAGCCCTTCTAACTATAGCACAGCACAACCTGATCCCAAAGCACAGCTCTCTACAAGGCGTAAATGTCAAATCACATCCCAGTTCTAACTTACCAGCTTGGGATGGGGGCGGGGAGGGCAGGGCGTACAGTTTCTTTTCTCGACCTCACAGCCTTCCCTCCCACCCTTCCTGTTTGTGATTTAATGTTTGCTAACGACTTCCTCATCTAGGACAACACCTTGCTTTTCTACTGACACTAGATCAAAAGTATTCAAGGAATTATTTAATTCGTTAATTTGGAAATCTTTGTTTACATTCTGTCTAGATCTGCTTTTGCTTATGGGCCACCCTTGCCCTCACTCCCACTCCCCCCCCCCTCCACCTCTATGATAGATTTGTGAAAAAGTCCTCTCTCTTCCTTCACTACAGATTCCACTCTTGCTTTTTCTTCTGTTTTTGTTTTTTTTTTTCAGGGATGTCCACTGAGAGGAAGCACCTCTTGATTTAGCTATATTGGATCTGGAACAGAAGTAACTATTGATCCAGTGAGTGTTGGATTGGACCATGGTGGTTTTTTCCCTCATAACTTGGACCAACTAGCCAAGTGTGTTGTCCTGTAATCCAGTAAGTAAGCATTGTAGTTGAATATCATTGGTGTTTTATCATTCCCAAATTGAGCTGGAGCTTCCTAAAATTTGCCCTTATAGGTAGAAGAATTCTTAGATGTTTACTAAGCACTTAAAATCATTGTTAATTAAAATAATGTTTCCTTTTTTTGTCAGGTGAGGGCTTGAACTCTGGATCTGCCCACTCTTCAGCTTAAGGTGAGTACTCCACCACTTGCAGTTTTCTGGTGGTTAATTGGAGATGAGTCTCACAGACTTTTCTTCCTGGACCATGACCCTCAGATCTCAGCCTCCTAGGTAGCTAGGATTACAAGTGTGAGCCACCATCACCCAGATTTTTTTTTATTTTTTTGTCAGTCATAGGGCTTGAACTCAGAGCTTGGGTGCTGTTCCTGAGCTCTTTTGCTCAAGGCTAATGCTGTACCACTTTGAGCCACAGCTCCACTTTTGGTTTTCTGATGATTAATTGGAAATAAGAATCTCAAGGACTTTCCTGCCTAAGCTGGCTTTGAACCACAATCCTCAGATCTCAGCCTTCTGAGTAGATAGAATGACAGTGTGAGCCACTAGCACCTAGCTTTTTTTTCTCTCTTTTTGTATGTGTCAGTATCAGAGCTTGAGCTCAGGGGCCCTAGTTTAGCTTTTTCTGAACTGGCACTCACCACTTGTGCTATACTTCCAGTGCAGCATTTTGCTGGGTTTTAGCCCATATTGACTAAGAATTAAGATCTTCAGATCTCAGCCTCCTGAGTAGCTAGGATTATAAACATGAGCCACCAGTGTTCACTTAAACTCATTCTTCCATTTTTGAAGTTGCTTACAGTAAGGATTTGTCCTCTTATTTCTGTGTATTTTTACCTGTCAAGTTTTCCCCACACTTGACAAGAAAAAGAAAAAGAAAAAAAAAAGATATGAAAGCACATTCCTTGTTCAGATAATGAGCACCCACACATCACATAAGTTAAAATTGAATTTGATGTTGTTTTCAGCTGATCTAATTTATTCTCTTTTTTTTTGTGTGCCAGCATGGGGGCTTGAACTCAGGGCCTGGCTGTTGTCCCTTAGTTTTTTTCATTCAAGTATGGTACAATACCACTTGAACCACTTGAGCCCCACTTACAACATTTTGCTGGTTATTTGGATATAAAAATCTCATGGATTTTTCTGCATACCATGGCTTTGAATTGAGATCCTCAGATCTCAGTTTCCAAAATGGTGAGGTTTATAGACATGAGCCCCTAATGCCCAACTACTAAATGTTATTTGCCACAGTGATTCTATTAGTAGCTTTATGCTCATTTACTTATCAAAGCATGCTTACAATCTTTTCATATTTATAGTAGTAGATAAATATTAGTGTCTACTATAACTTGATTATTGGATGAATTGCTAAGCCTGATTTCTCAGACCATAGCTGTTACCTAAAATATTACCTAATACAAATCTGTTACTTATACCTACTATAAAGCACCAGAATCACCAAATGAGTTGGTTTTCAATTTAGGTACTTTTCTTGAAAAAGACAGAGATAATACCCTCTGATAGTTGTTCATTAGTAGTTGTCAAAGCTGATTAATTTTGTCCTTCATGTAACTGTAGACTAGTTTGACTAGGATAGCTAAGCTTTAACTTTTTGTCAATTTTCTGACTGTTTCATCTTACTTCAGACCCTGACCCTTGTACCTACTACAAATATTTCCTATTATAACCTTCCTGTTACTATTAACACTAGTAACGCTAAATACTTTGCTTTGTTAATTGTTTCTTCATATGAAAGCTTTGCTCATCTGTCTTTTTGTCAACAGTCTTACTGCTAATGTCCAAAAACCTCTCCCCTTTTGTTTTGCTTTGACAATAAGGAAACATATTTTTCTGCAAATGTCTTGGGTGCTTGAGGGCTTTCTGTGAGGAACTTCAGTCTTCTGCCAGTCTTAGGTATTCTAGCAAGTTTTTAGCAGCAATACCCCATGCATGGGTATTTTTTGCTATTAAAAAAAATCTCTTAATATCTGATGTGGTTTTCACAAGATGCTTGCTGCTTATCCATCACCACAACTTTCTTTTTTGGTGGTACTGTGGTTTAAACTCAGGGCCTTTGCTTGCTAGGTAGGTATACTACCACTTGGAACCATGCTCTCAAGCTACTTTTGTATATTTTCCAGGTAGAGATTTCCCCAAGGGCCATCCTCAGACCTCAGTCCTTCTACTCACGTCCTCCTCTGTAGCTGGGATAATTGGCATAGCTTGTTGTGTGAGGTGAAATCTTGCTTTTTGCAGTGGCTGGCCTTAAGCCATAATCCTCCCAATCATTGTTTCCCAAGTAGCTGGGATTACATGCATGAGTACTGTGTCTGGTTGTACCAATATTTTCTGTAGCTATTTTGAGAGGAAAACATTGTAAGTTAAAAAAAATTATTTTGTTCTGTTAGATTTGTGGTAGTTGGGTATGATGGTACATGCCTTATAATCTCAGCTACTCTGGAAGCTGAGGTTAGAGGGTCATGAATCTAATGCAAGCCCAGGAAAAGTTAGTGAGACCATGTCTCAACAAAACCACTGCTCCCATGCCCCCTGAAACTCACAAGCTTAAATGATGGAGCATTTGCTTAACATGCCTGCACAAAGCTGGGGTTTGTTCAAATCATAGTTTCACAAGGAAAACATTTAAAACTTTAGTGGTTTTAACTGTCTTGAGATTCACTGGTGAAATATTCTCAGATATATAATTTAAAATTCATTTTATTGTATGCATATGGTGCTTTATGATTCAGAGATTTACAAAGTAAATATTAATTAGTCAAATCAGTGCATTTAATTAATTAAAATAATGAATGGATTTTAATTCAGCTAACTTTCACAGCAATTGAATGAGGAGTCATTTTCCTCTATGGAAAACTGGGACTATATTTCAGTGTTAGGTCTTCAATTTCAAAGGTGTCAGCAGCTCATCATAATACCTTCTTGAAAACTAAAATTTAGCCGGGTATTGGTGGCTCAAACTTGTAATTCTAGCAACTCAGGAGGCTGAAATCTGAGGATAATGGTTCTAAGCTAGCCTGGGCAGGAAAGGCCATGAAACTTATCTCCAATTAACCACCAAAAAGCTGGAAAAGTTGCTGTGGCTCAAGTGGTAGAGTGCTAGCCTTGAGCAAAAGTGCTCAGGGACAGCACCCAGGCCCTGAGTTCAAGCTCCAGGACTGGCACAAACAAACAATAAATAAAACTAACACTTAAGTAGCTTTGCTCGTAGAGATAAAATTGTAAAATGAAGTTCACTAGAAATTTACTATTCTCTTTCCTATTCAAAAACAAAATATATCCTTAGGTCTTCTAATTTGTTCAGATCTATTATCTCTGTACTTTAGAAGCTTAAATAAACAAGTATTTTTAAAGCATGCATAAAAGTAGCTAGTTATGTACTCATAGATAGCTTCAACAATTACTTTAATTGCCCTCCTCACCTATTTTCTCCATGTGTATTTGGTAGAAAAGGGTATTTTGAGAAAGTTCCAAGATGTAAGGATGCTTATTCTTAATTTCCCAGTGGAGGTGGCTTAGAGATTCTTTTTAAAAAATGTTTTTATTTTTTAAATTGTTACTGTAAAAGTGATATACAGAGGAGTTACAGTTACATAAATCAGGTAATGCATACATTTCTTTTTGAACAATGTTATCTCTGCCCTCCCTTTCTCCCAGTTTTTTCCCTACCTTCACCCCCAACCCCACAAGTTGTATAGTTCATTTGCAACATAGTGTCTAGTGAGTATCACTGCTGCATTTGTCCACCCTTTGTCCCACCATCTCTAGGTGTTCCTCCTTACACTCCCCCAAACAGATAAACTTACAAACAAGACAGAAGGCACAGAAAATATAAACAGCAACAAAGAAATAAAGTCTTGCATCTATTTCTTGGAATTCATTTTGATAAGCATCATTTTATATGATCATATGCACATAGCTGTTGAGCCTTTGTGATCCTCTCCCAAGACTATCCCTTGGTCTCACTGTGTGAATGTCTGGAGTCCCATATGATTTATCATGTCCAAGTGTATTTTTTTGTCTTTTACTATCCAGTGTGTTTACTTGTAGATTTATAGGCACATTGCAGTTATGACAAATGAGGGTCTGGCTTACTTTGATTAATATAATTATTTCCAAGCTATCTCTGTCCAGCAAGGAAACTCTGAGCTTCCTAGCATCTATAACTCATAAAATACCACACTGAATTAGCAAGGAGTAATTTACCTGCCCACTTGGTTCTTTGCCTGTCCTTACTTTTGATTCTGAACTTTCAGCTCAAAGGGAAATGTGTTATCTGATGTAACTAAATAACCAAAGGGCAGTCCTGGCAGGAACAGATAGACTGTATATATCCATCAACGATGTTTCCAAGAAACTTCTTATTTCTGTCATTCATATTTGCTTCCGTATAAATAAACTGGGTTTCTTTTCTGTTAACTTTACCCTGGAAACTCAAGTTTTAGTAATAAGCAGAGCAGGCACAGTTGCAGTACTTGGGCTAGTGTTCCCAGCAAATGTCCTTGGGCTCTGCTTATAGATCCAGCTTGGGTTGAATGCCCAACTCAGGAGGAAACTGGGCTTTTATAGGCCAGACCTGAGTCATTTCTCTGCTGTGCCCTTACCCAGCCAAGAGTGGGAAATGTCCAGTAATAACATGAACAGAAAGTAGGGAATTAGGTAAATGCCTAAATGGGGTGCCACTGCACAAAGAACAAGAAATGATTGCTAGGTAGCAAAAATAATAGCCTGTTTATAGAAAGGAGATCAAATTAATTGGAACCAAATTCCTCCAAGAGATCTGAGGAACACATAACCTAAGGCTCTGAACTTGAATATAAAAACAAATTTCATTTGGCAGAGGATTAGGAGCATTGCCAGACAGTTTTTTCTTAAGCTTGGTAATAATGTTCATGTGATATTATTTGCTAAATTATGTTCTAATTTGCTTCTCTTACTAATTTGTACTTGGAATCACAAGTACTTGAAATTAATAAGTTGAGATTTTCAGTTGACTTAGATGAGGTTTCTATTTCTTGTAATTGTATCTGAATTCTCCACACACATAAGTACCTCTCCAGCACATACATAATCACCGACTGTCTAGAGGATTTTCAGAAGGAGATTGAAGGAAGAAATGAACAAATAAAGAGCCTGAGAACCAATTTTTTGCAATTTCTTTCTTTGTGGGGGGGGTGCTATTTTATCTATTGTGGGGTTAGTTATACCCCACAATAGAAGAAAACAAAGTAACTAGTACATCTAATTAGGTAAGTTGATATAGTGTATCTTTGAATGACAAAAGTCTTAGTTTGAAGGGAACCCCCAGGTTGAGTATGAAGTTGTATCTTCCATCTCAGCTGCTTTTACAAGTGGGATTTCACATGTCTATGAAGGAATGGTTGGGAACTTTAGCTACATTGGGCAAATGACTAGAGACTTGGAGTCTGAAAAAAATGTTAGTCAAATGAATTTTTAGATTCAACTAGATCTTAATAAAAATCAGTTGCTACCAAATAGTTTACTGTAAAAAAAAAACAACAAAAAAGAAAAAGCCAAATAGTTGACTGCTATCTATAGTCATTATAACAAAATAGTGGGCTGGGAAGGTGGTTCAGTGGTAGAGAGCTTGCCTTGCATGCATGAGGCCCTGGGTTCGATTCCTTAGCACCACATAAGCAAAAAGAAAAAACACAGAAGTGGCGCTGTGGCTAAAGAGGTAGAGCGCTAGCCTTGAGCTGAAGATCTAAGGGACAGCGCCCAGGCCCAGAGTTCAGGCCCCACGACCAGACCCCCCCCCAAAAAAAATAGCTAAAAATTCATGGTCTTGTCTTAATCCTTATTGTACTTGATTCTTTTAGAGATAATAAATTTAAATTATTAACAATATAATGAAATTGGTTTTTTTTCAAGCTTAAAATTAAGTTTGTTCCACTTAGCCACTAAGGCAGAGCAGAAATCATGTATAAAATGAAAAGATTTCATGCTTTCTGTTTGGTTGTAGGCAGGGGGCTAATAAGATTTTTAAAAATACATCAGGTTAAATTTGAATCTAACTGTTGAAAAAGCAGGAAAATCACTACTTATGAAAGTGACAATCCTCACAGTGTCATAGCTTAATTTTTTGTTTTCTTCAGTACTGGGGTTTGAACTTGGAGCCTTGCACTTATTCAGCTTACTCGTTTCAGCTGACACTTTACCATTTGAGGTGCACCTCCTGCTTTTTGCTATTTTTGGAGAATGGAGTCTTGTTTGTCTACACTGAGGTTTTTTGTTTTGTTTTATTTTTTGCCAGTCCTTGTTCTTGGACTCAGGGCCTGGGCACTGTCCCTCAGCTTGTTTTGCTCAAGGCTAGCACTCTACCACTTGAATCACAGCGCCACTTCTGGCTTTTTCTTTTTATTTGGTACTGAGGAATCAAACCCAGGCCTTCATGCATACTAATCAAGCACTCTACCACTAAGCCACATTCCCAGCCATTCTACATTGGTTTTGAGCCTTGATCCCCTGGATCTCAGCCTCTTGAGTAGCCAGGATTACAGGAATCAGCCACTGGCACCTAGCTATGCCATAGTTTTTGTTGAGCTGCTTGGTGTCTTGGTTTAAAAATATTCCTCTTGCTGGAGGCATGGCTCAGTGGTAGAATGCCTGCCTAGCAAGTATGAGGCTCTGAGTTTAAAAAAGAAAGAAAAAAAGAAAAGAAAAAGAAAAGGAAGCCGTGCCCTGATGACTCATGCCTGTAATCCTAGCTACTCAGGATGCTGAGTTCTGAGAGTCACAGTTCAAACCCAGTCTGGGCAGAAAAGTCCATGAGATTCTAATCTCCAAAAAAACTATTCAGAATAAGGAGGAAGTGGCATTGTGGCTCAAGTGGTAGAGCTCTAGCCTTGTGTGCAAAGAGGCTCAGGGACAGCACCCAGGCCCTGAATTCAAGCCCCAGGACTGGCAAAAAAAAAAAAGTATTGCCTAAATGAGTGAATAAATAAATAAATAGAATTTCTCTCTTTTCATATCATTAATGTTTCCTCTAGTTACTTTAGATATGAAATACAAGAAACTTACTTTAGTGAGCTAGCCATCAACAAGGATCCAGCCTGACACAAAGTGATCACATAGTAGAACTCTGATACATAAAATGTAGTAGTTGAGTGGGCTCAATATATACCTTTATGAGAACCTCGAAGTTTTGATAGAATTGCTGGATATTTGTGGGAAAGAATGTAAATTATGTGCATGGTTAAAGTGAATGCAACATTAGAAATTATTTCAGGTGGCTGAGAAGGTAGCTCAGTGGTACAGTGCTTGCCTTGCATGCATGAGGCCCTGGGTTCGATTCTTCAGCACCACATAAGCAGAAAAAGCCAGAAGTGGTGCTGTGGCTCACATGGTAGAGTCCTAGCCTTAAGCTGAAGAGCTGAGGGACAGCACCTAGGCCCAGCGTTCAGGCCCCATGACTGACCCCCCCCCCACCAAAAAAAAAGAAATTATTTCAGACTTGAATTTGGCTTTACTAGAATTAGAATGTTCATTATTATGATACTGCCCTTCTGCAAATGGTACCCTTCTGAAGAATGGAAGTTAACATCTTTTTACAGATGAGAAAACTGAAGCATTTCAGAGGCTTCATGTTTCAGAATTCTAAAGCCTACATCCTCTTTTCTGTGTCTGGCTGCCCAATGATTTTATTGTTTAATATTCACTTTATCATTTTCTTGAATCCAATTAGTTAAATTAGATGCTTTTAACTTAATTATATCTTTCACTTCCTTTAGTTTATTTAGAAGCGTGTTTTGAAGTTATGGCTGATGAGCAGAATCCCCAAATGCCAACTGATGGTTCAGAACAACTCTTCTCCTTTGGAGTTATAGCAGATATCCAGTATGCGGATTTAGAAGATGGATACAATTTCCATAGAAGCAGGCGGAGGTATTATAGACATAGTCTTCTTCACTTACAGGGTGCCATTGAAGACTGGAATAAAGAAAGCAAGACACTCTGCTGTGTCCTCCAGCTTGGAGATATCATCGATGGCTATAATGCAAAGTATAAAGCATCAGAAAAGTCTCTGGAACTTGTCATGGACACGTTCAAAGTACTCAAAGTCCCAGTTCATCACACATGGGGGAACCATGAATTCTATAACTTCAGTAGAGACTACTTAACAAACTCTAAACTTAACACAAAGTTCCTAGAAGACCAGATTGTACATCATCCTGAGACCATCCCTTCAGAGGATTATTACGCTTATCATTTTGTACCATTCCCCAAATTCCGGTTCATTTTACTCGATGCTTATGACTTGAGTGTCTTGGGCATCGATCCATCCTCTCCAAAATACCAGCAGGGTATGAAGATACTGAGGGAGCACAATCCCAATGAGGAGTTGAATAGTCCTCAAGGTGAATTATTCCTTTGCGCTGAGAATCTAATACATTGTCTTTAAATTCTTCAGCTACCTTTTATTCAGCAGGAACATGGATGATTCAGGTAAAAGTATATTGTCACTGTTGTTGAAGGTCAGGATTTTTCATGAGCCTGATGTCACAAGGACTCATTAGTTGATTTGGGTTTCATTTATTTAACAGATATTTGAATGCCCATTCCAGGATGAGCACTTTACAGTATTACTATTTTTAATAAAAGGAATGAATCATAGTAGTAGGTAGAAGAGATAATAAATATGTTAATTAGTTTTCTAACACTGACAAAATATCTTACGTAAGTAATTTACAAGGAGGAAGTTTATTTTGGATCGTAGTTGTCAGTCCATGGCCCCTTGACCTTATGATGCAGTACATTGTCACTTGGAGCTTGTATTAGAGAAGCTGCCTGCCTCATGGCAGTGTGGAACACAAACAGAAAGGAAGATCTGGGGTCCTTTTATCTCCTTTGAGAGCACAGTCTCAATAATTAATTTCCCAATAGATCCTCTATGTCTTCAAGGTTCTACAATCTTATTTTTGCATTATGAGCTACTACAGCTCAACTTGCTGAGTTGGTGATCAAGCCTTCCTTTAACACAAAGAACTTGGAAGAACATTTCACATTCAAACTGCAGCAAATCAATGGAACCAAAACCAGATTATTTCCACATTGACAAGTGTTAGTAAGAAAATAGAGTATTTTAGTACAGAAAAGCATTATGGATACTACCTTAGATTAGGTGATCAGAGAAAGCCTCTTCCAGGAAAGAAATATTTAAACTGCTGTCCAGCTGACAGGAAGGAGTTATACACAGGAGAAACAAATGCAAAGGACTAAGTAGATAGAACACTGGTATTAAACACAGGAATCAGGGAGGTAGAAGATGATTTTGGAGGACAGAAAAGTACAAGAATATGTTGTGGGTTCAATGGACAAAGTAAGGAAGTCATATTTCTTTTTCAAAATATAGGGCCAGCTGAGTAAGCCAGAGAATATCAAGACTAAAAAGATACCATGTGATTTGTTTGTATACTGCCCTAAATTCTTATGAGTTGGTATTTTTTTCACTGCTAATTAAATAGTCCCTCAAAAGAACAAGTGTCTTGTATTAGCTAATCTTGAATGCCCAAATGAGGAAAATGACAATGGATGTCAGATTCAGTCTGATCTACTGAATTCATTTAGGACTTTCTGAGCCCCAGTTTGTCCAGTATAATGGAGGATTCAGCCAAGAACAGCTCTGCTGGTTGAATGAAGTTCTTACATTCTCTGACACAAACCAAGAAAAGGTGGTGATTGTGAGTAAGTATTGAAATTGTTTATCTGGTTACACTAGCATTTTAGAGATTGAGAAATGTTGGCTATTAATGATATTTATGCTTGATATTCTCTTTCTATAGAATGGATGTTTAGTTTAAAATTTTCATTAAAATATAACCAAAATCTAAGAGTAACATTTAAGGATGAGTTGGAAAAGAATTGTAAAATAACAGAATTATCTATATATTAGCACTTGTAACTCCTGTAGGTTTCAAAATTGAGTTTCTCTCAATGGGATCAGCTTATATAGTAATTATGTGTGTACCAAAATGGGGCTTAAACTCAGGGCCTTGAGCTCTCATTTAGCATTTTCATTCAAGGAAAATGCTCTACCAAACATATCCACTTCTTTATGTAGTTTTAAGTTTTTCCTTTTTATTGGAGGGGATGCACCACACCATTCCTGGACCTACTGCAATACCAGGCTCATGTGTGGTATCCAAGCTCCTATTCCAAGTCTTTGCTCCAAAAATCCATTTAATATACTATTCTTAAATAAAAGGTATATAGGACATTAAACGGATTAGAACAGACATTTTATGTCATAATCTTTAACTGAGAAATTGAGTTTAGACTCCATGTCAACTCCAGTGTTAGGAAGCTTAGCTTATAAGGGAAGTAGCCACCAAACAGGCCATGCTCTCCAGCTGAGACAAAGCTGAGATAACATGAGATCTTCCCATGTGCCTCAGATCACTGTGAGTACTTATCAACAGCAGGGTCCCAAGGAATTTAGATCTGAGTCCTTTTTTTTTTTTTTGGTTGATCGTGGGGCTCGAATTCTGGGCCTGCGCCCTGTCCCTCAGCAATTCAGCTCTGCAACTTGAGCCACAGCACCATTTCCAGTTTTCTGAGTGGTTTATCAGAGATAAGAGTCTCTTGGACTTTCCTTCCTGGGCTGGCATTGAACCTTGATCCTCAGATCTCAACCTCCCAAGTGGTTAGGATTACAGGCCTGAGCCACCAGTGCCCAGCTTCTGAGTTATTTTTTTTATAGACACACTGCCATAGGAGATTATAGAAATCTGGAAGTGCTTAAAACATGAAAAAAACATTTGAATTTGCAGTGTGGCTGGTTTGGGGACTGACATTGCATCTCTTATTTTAAAATCAGATGAAAAGACTGCATCAATATCCAGAGGATAGAAGCCATTCAGACTCTTACTTATCAAACTGTGTGGCCCTGAATACTTATTAAACCTATGAGCTACAGTTTTCTTAGCATTGTGTCAGATGGATTATGAATTTGAAAACAATAGGCTACTCAGCGGGTTGGTCATACAAAATTACATTTATCAACAAAGATAGATTTTACATATTAGTCTTCTACTGACATGGCAGAAATATAAATGGAGTAGGAATATTTGACTGTGAAGCATCAAGGCTTGGAAAGATAAGATGCCCTTGGGTTCTGGTAAGATACGATACTATTTGGCTCAACAAAAAGCTCGTGTACTAGTTGACTAAGTCTGCTTTTAGTTTTTCTGGTAAGCTAAGAGTATTGTTGTTGAAAAGGATCTAGGAATCATCTAGCCAAATCATTTAATTTTACATAAAGATAAACTGAATTCTAAAGAAATTGAAATATGTAGCTATTCATACAGCTGCCAGCAGAACTGCTGACTGTTCATGTTGTATATCCTCCTTCTCTTTCTTTTCTGTCATCCAGTCCCTCTTTGTTGATGGGAGTATATCTATCTGCATCAGTATCCCCTTATATTTGTTTACCATTTGCTGTATATTTAGAAACTAGATAAGCAAACATAAGTTCAAATGTCTATTTGAAGTCATGTGCTATTGTACACTAATGGAGATGTTGGGTGGGCAGTTCAAACATGAATCTAAAACTAAGAAATTTAAGCTAGATATATAAATGTAGGCACTAAAAAGATAATATTTAGATCTATGTAAGTCACAGAGATATCACTAAGTCATTGTGTGCAATACAGAAGTCCAAGGACCAAGCATTTCAGATACTCCTGACAGAATGTTGGGGAACTGAGGAGAGACTAGTAGAGGAAATTGAAAACTAGTGGCCATTGAGGTTGGAAGAGGAAAAGTAGGAAGAAATTTCTAGGGAAAGTAGTGATGTCCTGAAAGCAAAACACTTCAAGGAAAGGGGGCAACGAATCGCCTCATTTTATGTCTGAGTCAGTATGGCTTCTACACAGCCAATGTGTCTGTGCCTTGTGTCTAAAAGGCCATCTTCCTCAGGGCACTAGATGGCTGTTAACCCCTTGCCCCCTGTTTTACTTACATTATAAACAAGGAAATATTAAGTAGAAACATGTTTAATTTCAGAATAAAAACAAACACAGAAAGAATTAAAGAGATGTATTGGGAAGAAGCAGAGATGGAAGTAAACATGTTACCTGGTCTAGATTCACAGATGTGTTGGCACTAGTGATTTTAAATTCTCCAAGATCGGGGCTGGGAAGGTAGTTCAGTAGTAAAGTGCTTGCCTTGCATGCATGAGGCCCTGGGTTCGATTCCTCAGCACCACATAAGCAGAAAAAGCTGGAAGTGGCACTGTGGCTCAAGTGGTAGAGCACTAGCCTTGAGCTGAAGAGCTGAGAGACAGCGCCCAGGCCCAGAGTTCAGGCCCCACGACCTACAAAAGTAAAAAAAAAAAAAAAATCAGACTTAAATTCTCCAAGATCCACCTCCACATGTCTTCTGTGATCCAGGATAAATGTTGGTTGCATCGGTCAGTTATCTCATCTGTAAATAGATAATGGCTACCTTGATCTCAGGGGAGTATTTGAAGACTCTATAAAAAATTGTTTCAGCTCTACTGCACTGAGTGTTTATATGACACATAATCCATGGCCAGTCCCTAAACTGATCTTTTATTTACTATTACATCTCTCTGTGTATATAACATTCATAATCCAGGAAATCAATGAGATTGGATTGCAGCACATTATTTGTCTGAATTTTTGCTGCCTTTGCAGACTGTACTGTGTAAGCTGCCCTTGCATTCCTCGTGTTTGTGTAACTCAGACCTGTAGGCCTCAGAATCTCTGAGGTTTTTCTGTACAGAAGCCTCTCCCAACTTGCTTATGATTTGTTTCAACTTCTTTTTTTCTTTTTCAGTTATGGGTTTTGAACTTAGGGCCCAGACACTCTCCCTGAGCTTTTTCATTTTGTAGTTATCCTCACTATGTAGTCTTGGCTGGTATCCCACTCATGATCCTCTGGCCCCAGTCTCCCCAAGTGTTAGGTGTGTGTCATGGACCATCTGTTAGACTAGTTTTTCGTGTGTATGTGGGTTCTCTTGGTCTTAGTCCATTTACATGAACAATAAGCATTGTTATTGTGTTTATTTTCCCTCAGTACTAGCATTTAACTATTTATCTTGATGAAAAAAAAATTTCTTAATTGGTTCCTAACTTCTTCTTTTTACCAGGCCATCTCCCCATTTACCCAGAGGCTTCCGACAGTGTGTGCCTAGCCTGGAACTATACAGATGCTCTAGCGGTCATTTGGGCTCACAAGTGTGTGGTGTGTTTCTTTGCTGGCCACACACATGATGGTGGCTACTCAGAGGATCCTTTTGGTGTACACCACGTTAACCTGGAAGGAGTTATTGAAACAGCTCCAGACAGCCAGGCGTTCGGCACAGTTCACGTCTATCCTGACAAAATGATGCTGAAAGGAAGAGGCAGAATTCCAGACAGAATTATGAATTACAAGAAGGAAGAAGCTTCCCATTCATAGTCTGATCTATCTTGTTTGACTTTGTGAAAACAATGACTTTAATACGTGTTTATCCCTACCACACCAAAAGGAAAATGGAAATAAAAATTCTCAATCCCATTAGGATTCTGTCTGCATGACCAAATGTATTTATGACTTCAGTATGTGTTAGTGAAGATAAAACATGCAGAAATGTCACTTTTAAGTAGTATATCCCACACTGAAAGTTAGAAACAGAATAAGCCGGGGGGGGGGGAAGGGGGGAGACTCCAGTGAGTGAATTTAGTTCTGATAAGAGATTTTATTTGGCATTACTTGAAACATGTTCATGTGAACTCTATAATTTAAAATTCATGATATAAAAAAAAAACTCAGGCAAACTTTTTCTGTTCACAATGCAGTGTGAATGAATTTGGGATACTTTTGCTCCAAATACCTATAATAGAACTTTATAGACTGTATTCTTTTTTGTGTGTGTGAGAAAAGTTACTGTGAAGTAACTTCTGAGTGTGGTACCCCTCTATCTGTCAGGTCATCCAATCCCATGATTCCAAATGAGGCGCCACTGCAGTCTTGTGCAGTTAGCTAGGTTTATTTACCTGCCGTGTGACACCACGATAGGTAAATGAATTTGTCCTTGATAACTTTTATAACTATGGGGCATGTTTAACTCAGTTGGTATATGTGCTGAGTTACCTTCAGAAACAACCCATGGCAAATGGAGACTGTTTAAGTGTAGAGAAAATTTGATTTGAGCCTAAAAAAAAAATGAAAAAATACCAGTCAATGTGAATGTGCCTGTTGGGAACCAGTATGCACTACTTGGTGGCTTGCAACATGAATTTGTTCTTTGATAGTTCTAAGGGTGGTAAGTCTGAAACCAGTGAGCTAAAAAACTGAGCTATTGGCATGGCTATATTCCTTCAGGAAGCTTGAAGCAGAGTCCTTTTCCTTGCCCTTTCCAGGCTTTGGATATCTGGGTATTTTTGCCCTCATCAAATCTGAAAACTCCTATTTTGCAGAATAAGGTATCGGTTTCCAAGGATTATGACCTACATGTTTTTGAACACTGGTACTCAGCTAGCCACAGAGATGACTAATGTCCTTCTATACTCATAGAACTTTCCATAAGGGAGAGACATGCACAGATACAAATGTGTGAAACTGAATGTCATACAAAAATGTGGGAGGAACACATTATGTTTGAGGGGACTGGAGATGATAAGAAAATGGAGTAAGTGGAGAAAAGCATTTCATGTTGAATAAAAAGAGCATCAAAGACCAGCTAAATTTAGAAATGACTACCAGTGTTATGAATGTCCACTAGAAGAGTCTTGGGGCCTGGCAGAAAAGGATAGAGTAGGACCATACCATGAAGAGCCTTGAGTAATAGCATATACATACAAAAAGTACATGCCATTTCCCTGATAAGGTGACTTCAGAAGCCACTGTCACAAAGACAAAACAATACATACCTTCTGTAATAAACATACACTACTTACTGTTTTATTGAACTATAAAGAGACAGATTATCACTCATCTTCATTCTCTTGATCTATGGTAGGCACTAACTCAATGCTTCAGAATTTCCTAATTCTGATGAAATGGTATCTGACCAGAGTTGGCTTGATTAAAGCATATGTAGAAAAGTTACCATTCAGATACCCATCTGAAATATGTGAACCACATTAAAAATTTTAAACATTCTAGCAGTCATATTTTAAGAAGTAAACAATTTAAAAACAAGTAGAACAAAAACCCAGTGCACCTGTTAAGAGTTGACACTCTATTATCATGGGAACCAGTTTTCATTAAACTTGAAGCAGTTATGACACGGCAGTGTTTTGGTTCAGACACCTGTTCACAGAAAAGCATGATGGGAAAGTATTTCCTGACTTGAGTGTGTTCCTTTTTAAATGTGAATTTTTATTTCTTTTTAATTATTTTAAAATATTTAAGCCTTTTTCTTGATCTTAAAGATCATGTAGATTGGGGTTGGGAGGGATGAAGGGCGAGTGAGTCTAAAGATAATGAAATAATCAGTGCTGAAATAATTTTCCCATCATCCTTTGTTCTGAGTATTCTCTGTACCCTTTAAGATATCCATCTTTTTCTTTTTAAAAACCAGACATGCATGTGAGAACTTTTATTGTATAAAAAGTTCCACAGGTCAGTAAGTTTAGAGGAAAATGAGTATTTGGTCCCCTCAAAAAAAATAATAACCAAGATTTCAGGGCTTTTATTTTTTTCTTTCGTAATTGTATAAAAATGGAGAAAGAAATACAAAGAATTTTAATATGAAGACATTTTTTGCTATAATCATTAATTTTAGAGACATTGTTAGTGTGTGTGAATAGTCCATTTCCCACATCTTTCCTCAAGTATCTTCTATTTTTTTTTTTTGGGGTCCGGTCATGGGACCTGAACTCTGGGCCTGGGCGCTGTCCCTCAGCTCTTCAGCTCAAGGCTAGCGTTCTACCACTTGAGCCACAGCGCCACTTCTGGCTTTTTTCTTTTTGCTTATGTGGTGCTGAGGAATCAAACCCAGGGCCTCTGGCATGCAAGGAATGCGCTCTACCACTGAGCCACCTTCCCAGCCCCAGTATCTTCTATTTTTATCATGAATTCCCTTTTAAACAACTGTAGGTTATTTAAAATAAATTTCTATAACTTAATGAAAAAAGTAAATAGCAACAAACTTGATTTTAATCATTTATTTAACCCAACATATCAAAATATTGGCATTTCACTATGTAATTAATATAAAAATATTTTACTATTTGTATAACATTTAAAAAACCTACTGTGTGTTTTACACTCATAGCCCATCCATTTGGACACTTAATTTGTTATTGTAAAAATTTAATATGGATTTAGATCTCCAAAGCCAATTCTGGAAGATTTCCAATTAACCAGCAAAATGCCAGACTGCAAGCATGGCTCAGCCATTAGCAATAAGCTAGCTAGAGCACAAGGCTTTGAATTCAAGCCCCAGAACTGGTGCATGCGTGCACACACAGATATACACACTTAAAAATTACTTCTCAATCACCCTAGCTGCATTTCAAGTGCTCAATAGCAATTTAACTCAGTAGATAGTGGTGCCATATTGGAGAGGATAGCCCTAAAATGCTCTCCTTCCTAAGGTCACTTTGGACATCCATTTATAAACATGGCTTTTGGCCTTATTTATCATTTAGAATAGAATATATGAGTAACTAATATTCTCTATTTCTTTCTTAATTGGTTCCAAATTCCTTTTCTCCATCCAACTTTTTCAAGTCGTGACTATTTCTTTGGTTTCTTTTGAGTTCTCATCTAGTTCATGTACTCACCCATTCAGTATAATGAGATTAGTTCAGTGACATAGTCCTTTCTGACTCTACATCAGCTGCAAAATAGTGCCCAAATGCTAGTCCCTTGATTTTAATGACATGTGGTCCTTTGTACTCTACAAGCACTTGATATATTCTAAGTGCCTTTGGTTATAGTAACTAAGTATGTAGGCAATCTGACACTAATGTTATAGATAAGGAAATACCAGGTTTATATATTTGCCCAATCAACATGGGCAGTGGTAAAGTGAATTACAACTCCATTAGCTTTGCCACTACGCTACAGGCACAATATTCTTCAGAAAAAAGGCTTCCAGAGATTGATAGACTCCACTTCTCTTATTTGTCTCATTCAATCTTACATTGCAGGGTAGACAGCTTTAAATATTTATTTTTTGTTTTTGCTTTTGTGGTAGCATTGGGGTTTGCTAGACCGGTACTTTATCAGCTCCATTCCACAAAAGTTTGTAAGATCTTTAAATCAACCCTACAATTAGCTAAATTTCTTGATCTGAAAAACTGTCCTGTTACCCTGATATGTCTATTAAAAAAAGAATTGAAAGTACCAATTCAAAAAATACAATCCTTGAGTTTCTTTAAATGACTGTCTTGCAATGAGTTGGCCAAGAGGCCCTCATCTCTTTGTTTATGTATATGTAGACCCATGAAATCAATGGGAGAAGAGCAATTGTAATGGCCATCACCAAATGAATTCTTCCACCAAGTGGATTCCTGTAAAGACACATGAAAACTATTATAAGTAAAAGTCTGCTAAGATCATAGATTACTTTGGAAGCAAGTACAAATATTGAATTGTTAAAGCATAAGATAACATTTTAATATGTTTTTCTATCAAAATATTACTTACCTGTAGAAAATCTTTCCATTTAAATCTTTGTTTGTCTATGTTGCAAATATCTTATCCTACCCAATGATGTCTGTAAGGTATCTATAATGTCTATTTCAGGATTTAATTTGTTAATGTTTTCTTTAGATTTTTCCATCTGTGATCATGACTATGATCACTATGTAATAATCCCCCCCCCCATCCTTTTAAGTGCTCTTGGCAAGTTTTGTCCTCATCAGTGAATCAGAAAGTGTGACTTCTTTTCCTGTTCCTAGAAGTGTTTGTTGATGGCTGGCATCATTTCTTTCTTAAGTGTTAGATTTCTCCAGCTGTGCTCTCTAGGCCTAGAGTTTTCTTTTGGGGAAAATTTAATTATAGACTTTATTTAAGAAGAAAAGGCTGGAAATTAATGAGTTTAGAGTCCATAAAGATATGTATTGTCTATTTCTAGAAATTAGGAACAAAGCAGCAAGTTAAACAGAAACAAGAAGATAAAAGCAGAAATTAGTGAAATAAAAATTAACATAAAAATAAGAGAATTGATAAGGCCAAATATAGTCTTTAAAATGATTTATAGCACCAAGTCCTTTGTTTCAAATAGTTTTTGTATTCTCAATCGAATTTTAAAAACAATTTGTGCCCCTGGTAAAAATGTTCAAATTTAATATCATAAAGTTGTCAAAGTGTCCCCTTAGGATACTTTAGTTTTAGTACTGGGGCTTGAACTAAGGATCTCAAGCTCTCTCTTTACTGACACTCTACCGCTTGAGCCATAGCTCCAATTCCAGCTTTTTGCTGATTAATGAGATAAGAGGTTTGGCTTTTTCTGCCCAGGCTGGCTTCCAACCTTGATCCTCAGATCTCAGCCTCTGGAGAAGCTCTCAAGAGGATTCTGCTATTATGTTTACCTTCTTTTTAACTTTGAGTTTAACTTGCTTTTTTCACCCACCTTTATTTATTTCTTTTCAATTTTGACAGTACTAGGGCTTGAACTCAAAGCCTTGGTCCTTGCTAGGCAGGTACCTAGTGACCACCTGAATCAGCTTTTCCTGTTGTGATGCAACTCATAAAACTGAGTGGCCTGGAACTGTGATTTCCCCCAGTCTTTACTCACCTAGGATTAAAGGTATGGTCTACTAGTGCCTGGCTTTTTCCTAACTTCTTAGAAGCTTAACTCATTAAATTTGGCCTTTTTTTCTCTCTTTCTCTCTCTCTCTCTCTCTCACACACACACACACACATAGCTATATATAAAGCTTTTAAGCATGATTTTTAGTGGCATCCCACAAATTTTGGTATGTAATTTTACTAATTCTGTACAAAACGTGTTAATCTCCATTGTGATTCCTTTTCTGTTCCAAACATTATTTGAAACTGTATTTCCTAACTTCCATAAATACAGAAATCACCTAATTATGGTTAGTAGTTAATAGCTTAATTGTACTGTGATAAAAAAATCATCACAGGATTTGAAATCTATAGTCTTGAAACCTATAGTCCTTTGCAATGTGTGGGGACTTACGTTTTTTAATACTAAACATGTATTAATAAGAACATGAATTCTACCATTCATATTCAGATGGTCTAACAATGTCCATTAGGCCAAATTTCTTATGGTGTGGTTAAAGTCTTATATTTTTATTTTTTGTCTTCTTGCTATATTACATAATAAGAGAACTACTTTGATGTCTTCCACAATAACTAGAGTGAAAAGTTTTTATCTCTCAAATTTTATGGTATAAGTTTTAGCTATGTTGTTAGGCACATAAAATTTAGAATATGTCAAAAAACGAACTTTACAACTTTGGTGGGGGGGGGGAGATGGGAGGGCAGGGATGGTAAGGGGAAACAAAGGAGGAGGCAACAATGCTTGGTAAGAAACGTACTCACTTCCTTGCCCATGTAATTGTAACCCCTCTGTACAGTATTTTCACAATAAAAAATTAATAAAAAATTAGAACTGTTATATCTTTTTAATGAATAGAAATGGTCATTAAAAAGTGTCTTTCTTTGGCATCCTAAGTGGACTTCTTAATAAGTAGTGCTTAGATGACTAGGTAACTATGGAAAAAGATAATATTGACTCTCTTATTCCTTATTCATGTCATTACCTCGGGTTTATCTATAAGGAATTTTGTTGTTGTTGTTTTGGCTATACCGGGGATTGAACCCAGAACCTTGAACATAGGCAACTACTTTACCACTGAGCTACACCCCAGCCCAATTCTGAAGATTTAAGTGTAAAACTGAAACCACACATATATTACAAGAAAATGTATGTCAGTCTCTTTATAGTGTGAAGGGAAGTATGATTTCACACATGTGGTTCTAAATGAAGAATCAACAAGGAAAGGATGATCAAAATTGCTTTAATGAACATAACAAAATAAAACTTTCCCATGGTAAAGTGAAAACAATAACAAATTGCACAAGAAAGTAGTTCTGGACTTATAACCAAGGGTTAATTGCCCAGGCATATAAAGTTCTTCTAAAGATAAATAATAATAAATCTGACAATTAAATTTAACTATATCCTGGAGATGGACCAATGTTTCAGAGAAAAAGAAATATAAGCTGGGTATGATAGGTATGCCTGCAATCCTGGCTAGTTGGGAGGAAGGAGTGGGGTAGATGATTTGAAGCCAACCTAGGCAAGAAGTGCAAGCAAGAGATGCCATAAAAGTGCAGGGGACTGAGCTCAGTGGTAGAGTGCTTGCTTTGCATGCATGAGGCCCTGGGTTTGATTCCTCAGCACCACATAAGCAGAAAAACCTGGAAGTGGTGCTATGACTCAAGCGGTAGAGCACTAGTCTTGAGCTAAAGAGCTGAGGGACAGTGCCGAGGCTCAGAGTTCAGGCCCCACAACTGACCCCCCCCCAAAAAAAAACCCAAAAAACAAAAGTGCAGGGGACCCAATTTTATCTCAAGCAATAAAACACTAAATGTGGTGGTGCACACCTGTCATCCCAGCTACATGGGAAGTGTAAATTAGAGGATCACAGTCCATGCCAGTCTAGATATGAAGGTAAGATCCTATCTCAATTATAACCAAAGCCAAAAGGGGTGGAGGTGTGGCTCAAGTGTCTTTAATCTCTCTTCTTTCTTGGATGGGGATTGGACACAAGGGCTTACACATGCTAGGCAAGTGCTCTACCATTAAGCTACATTCCTAGCCCTTAAGTTTGCTCTTAATAAGACCAATTAAATCAAAAGTCTATCCCCTTTTCAACTATCCAATTAGTAAAAGTTCAAAAATTTAACAATATGTTCTATTGGCTAGGGCCTAGGGAAAGTCACGCTTATTGATGGCTAGAGTTAATACAAAACACACAGCAATCCCTGTGGAGGAGAGTCTGAGGAAGCACAGTGAAATATTAATGATGCAATTATACTTTGATCCAGCAATCCCAAAGCCATACTTCTAAAACCATTAGATATATGTAGAAGGTTATTAATTGCAGCGCTATTTTTAATGGCAGAATCGTGGATATAATCTAAACAGAGCCATGGAATAAGAAAGTCTTTGTATATTATAATGAGCTCTAAGAATAGGTCAGAAAGCCTAGGTACACTGCTTACAGCTCACTACCACTCATCTATGGTAGGCAGGAATGAATACATATGTTTCTATTGCACTGAAAATCCATGGGATAAGCTATAAAGCTGAAAAAAGCTCACATATAGGGAAAGGATTTAGGATTCAATAAAGAAGTTAGGGCTTAAGAGCAAAGAGACAAACGGTACATGGTCTCCCTGATAAGTGGATGCTAAATCTAAAATGTTAGGTGATACGACAAAACTAACAGGACTTAAGAAACAAAGAACTCCCACTCATCTGGTAGAACCACTACTAAATATCCCCATGCTGCTGATCACATGTATGGTGTATATGTGTACACCGTTATATGTTATAGACTGTGATAGACAATTGGCTCCAGGAAAGTTAGAATGAACTTGTGACTTTAAATGAGCATCATTATTCCACAATACTGTGAAATTTGGGAAATTATGTAATCACTTAATCACAATTAAAAAAAAAGAACCTCGGGGAAGGTAGGGAGAGAAGGGATGGTAGGGGGAAAACAATGGAGGGGGTAACAATGCTCAATAGGAAGTGTACTCATTACCTTACTCATGTAACTGTAACCCTCTGTATAGTATCTTTACAATAAAAAATTAAAAAAAAAGAAGTTAGGGCTTTTTTTCCCCAAATATGTCTTATTTTATAGATTTGACTAGGAAGCCATGTAGACATTGTACACAATTATTTAAAAATGAGTACATTTTAAATAAAATGATACCTAAAATATGAATGCATTAGTGTGTGTGTGTGCGTGTGCACAGTATATACCACAGGCTGGCCTAGAACTCATGATCTTCCTGCCTCCTAATAACAGGAGATTACAGGCATGAAGCACCACACACAGCTAATACATTGTTTCCACCTTTTGACATTTGGTATTTCTATATTTGTATATTAAAGATTGTCTTCTATGAACAGTGGAGATTTGGATTTTAAGTCTCTGTGCATTTTGAAAAGTTTTGACTCTTAACCAGAATATCTGGTAAACTTTTGACATAATTTCTGGTGTATCTGGATTTTTCATCTCTATCTTAACATGTGCTTCCAATTTGTGCCACTTACCTCCTACTTCCCATTTTTGTACTATCTTCTCTATTCATTTCCTATTCTCTTATATGCAAAAGACGACAACATCTGTACTTTAACTCTTCTTAGATAATCCAAGATCTATAAAAATCTTAACTCCATTTATACCCTTCAAACATACATCCTACTCTTGTTATGTATTTTTATTCTAGATTTTTAAACTCAATGAAACATTGCTACTATTGTTTTGTTAATATCCATTTTATATGTATCTTACATGTTTGTATTTTCCTTGCTTTTCCTTTTTTTCCTTTTATTTTTTTTTTATTGTGAAAATACTGTACAGAGGGGTTACAATTACATGGGCAAGACAATTAGTACATTACTTATCAAGCATTGTAGGCTCTTCCTTTGTTTCCCCTTCCCATCCCTTCCCATCCTCCCCGCCCCCCCTCCCCCCTGCCCAATCCACCCCACTCTCCCCGCTCCCCTCCCCACTTTTCCTTCTTTTCTGAAGTTTCTGTCTGAGATGACTGTTTCCTTGAAGAACACAGACTACACATGGGGTTCATGAACATACAAATGATCTGTTAGTCACTTCCCTTATGAAAAGGTAAGATTAGGGTAGGAAAGATTTTCTTTAAAGATTATTGTTTTCATTTACATGTCTAAATTTTCTCTTGAACCCAAGTATTGGTGGCTCATGCCTATAATCCTAGCTACCTAGGAAGTAGGGATCTGAGGATCACGGTTAAAAGCCAGCTTGGCAGACAAATACAAGAGAGTCTTATCTCCAACTGACCAGCAAAATTCCAGAACTAGGGGTGTAATATAAGTGGTAGAGCACCAGCCTTGAGAAAAAAAAGCTAACGGAGAGATTGAAACCCTGAGTTCAAGCCCCAGTTCCAGTACATTAAAAAAAAATTCACTTGCTACCTGATTTTACCAACCTTGGGGTCACCTGATTTGAATGGAAAGTTGAAAACTTACTTTGCTGAGCTGTGACATAGCCCCATCCATGCTGTGATGATCACCAGGCCAGACAGCTCCCTGGAAAAGTTTCACATTTCATGATGTGAAGTGCCTGCACCTTACTCCCTTACCACTACGGGGAAAAGTACAACCAAGAAAACAAGCCCAGATAAATTTCATTATCTCTACTTGTCTGAGACCTCAGTGTTAGGCAGGATGAGCTCAAATCCGTATACATTTTTAGCAGGAGTTGGAGCCTGAAGGGAGATACATAGTTTGTAGCAAGAATCAGATTACTGTTGTAGTGCATATGTGCTTCTGGATATGTATTTAAAAGCACATGACTTTTACATAGGATTAAACGCAAAAAACAACAATTATCTTCTGTCAGTGCCACTGAAGGTCCTACTTGAAGCTCACCATAATTCCTGGGCTTAAATTGGAGGCATTCAACCTGTTTGGTTTACATCCCATATACAGTCCTAGCCAGGTTGACTCTCTAGTTTCCCACAGATGACAAATCACACCTTAGCACTGATGACTATTTCATAAGTTGGACTTGGAAAATAGCCGGGGGTAGAAAAGAAAGTAAATAGTCTCTCAGTAAGGCCAAGAGTCAAGGGTAGGAGGAGGGAAAGGAAGAGGTAGTAACAGGAGAGTAAAGGTTCATGGTGATCGGAGGAGATGACATGTGACACAGGAGGGTGAGGCTGGCAGAAGTGGTTATAAAATATTGACCTCAGGAGGCAGCTGTTCACATTTGAGGACTTTGACTTAGCCAGAGGTGAATGGAAGTGCTGACAGAGTTACTACTATCTTAGTAGAGGCTTAGGTCACTGTGTTGTACCTTGGCTTTGTTACAGGGAGGTCAAGGTCCAGCTGCCTACAGTAATAGAATGGAATAGGTAACGACTTTGGGTGTAGGTAATCACGGAATCTGATAGGTGGGTTTTGAATCCTGGCCCCATCATTTCCTCAGTTTCTTCAGCTTATTGAAGACGTGTTACTTTCCTTGCTTCTCGTGGTACAGTTGGGTAATTAAATCATCACTGTGCACAGTTAAACTGGCATTACAAAGAAATAAAGGGTTTCTTGGTTTCACCCCACCCATCCAAAGAACAAAAGTTACTGCTCACCTGCCTTCTTCTTCATGTAAGATGTTCTGTTGTGTGTGAAGCAGGAGATGGTACGCCAAACCTACAGCCCACACCATACAAAACACCATGTGTATTGCAGAGATGCTCTTCCAAATAAAGTTCCCTACAAATACACATCTTGATGCTATTAGTCACTGGAACACAACCAGAAACAATCTCTTAGTACCTGTCATGTCATAAACTGCTTTCAGGAAAGAGATTCTGAAGAGACAACGTAAAGGTTATAATGTGCATTACCTATAAACTTCACTGAACAACTTGTTTTTGGTTGTCTAGCATTTCCCATTTCCATGAGTAGTATCATTATTTTCTTTATGAGACTTACCCTTTCCACACCTCTTGTTCTATGTGGGCCATGATTTGATGCCATGATTTGTCTCAAGGCCAACAGATAGTGAAACAAGGCCAATAACTCACTTCTGGGCCTTTGGTAGTGAAGAAATGGGAGTCTCTTTTGTTGAGCACTGTTCTGTGAACTTGGAGCTGCACGGAGCACCAAGAATTACCCTGTGGAGCCTAGGAGTAAAGGGAGGGCAGCAAATGGTAGAAATAAGAGGTAGAGAGAAGTCTTGGGTGAGTCCTTTAGTGCCTACAGGCAGCATCACCCATAACTTTTTTTCAGTGAACATCACCAGTTTAATTACTTCTTAGTTGATAGTATATTTTAGATTATTTCTGTCTGGACTGTAATTGATGAAGCCCTAACTCATCCACTTTAAGGATGAAGATAAGAAATTAAGGGTCCTAAAAAAGGAGCCAAGGTATATAAGGAACTAGAATTTTCCCCATGAAGGTGAGAATCATCCAAAAGCCATTGGGAACATTCAAGCCCTCTTAGTAGAAGCTGTTTTAAAGAAAGTGAAGAATAATCTTTCAGGATTGACAGTCCTCATTAAAAAGAGTATTTTTTTCTAACAGACAGTTTTCTAGTTATAAAAGTGTTCAGTCTAAGAGTTTTTGTTTTTGTGTCTTTGTGCTGGTAACAGGCTGAACTCAGGGCCTCACACTCTTACTCACCTATGGCTGGTGCTTTACTTCTTGAACACATCTCCATTTCTGGGTTTTGAGTGACTTATTATAGATTAAGAGTCTCACATATCTTTTTTTCCTCCAGGCTGGCTTTGAATTGGGATCTTCAAATCTTAGTCTCCTGAGTAGCTAGGGTTATAGAAGTAAGCCTAAAGTTTGTTGAGAATTTCTCAGGACTATGAAAGGTAAGATCCTGTTTTCCCCAACACTTGGTCACTTGTATGCAAATAAACCAGTTATTTTAATTGAGCTCTTTATGTGTATACTCACTGGGAGATTTTTGTAAGGGGTTAAAAAAAAAAAGGCACAGATGCCGGGCACTGGTGGATCAGGCCTGAAGTCCTAGCTACTCAGGAGGCTGAGATCTGAGGATTGCAGTTCAAAACCAGCCTGGGCAGGAAAGTCCATGAGACTCTTATCTCCAATGAGCCACCAGAAAACAGGGAGTGGCACTGTGGCTTAAGTGGTAGAGTGTTTACCTTAAACTGAAAAGCTCAGGAACAGAGTCCAGGCCCAGAGTTCAAGCCCCCTGACCAACAACAATAACAAAAGAGGCACAGATTACAGAATAAACATACATACAAGACTCTGCTTTACAGGCATTCAGTTATTAGCAACCATCAAGTACCTACTATATGCCTGGTCACTCAAACACAGAGTGAATACTTGTGTCCACCTCAGATACATTGAAATCCTAACCCTAAGGTGATAGTATTATGAGATACTACCTTTGGGGGGCGGTAAGCAGTTCATCTGAGTGGAACACTCATTAATTAGATTAGTGCCCAGGAAAAAGGCCTGAGAAATCTCTGTGTGTCCTCTACTGTTGTGGAAGAACACACAGCAAAAGGGCTGTCTCTGATGGAAGCAGTCCTTCATCAGAGGCCAAACTTGCTGATGCCTTGATCTTGGACTTCCCAGCCTCCAGAACTGGAAGAAATCCATCTCTCTTGTTTATAAACCTCCTACTCTATGATATTTTTTGTAACAGCAATTTAAATGGATTAAGGCACATGTAAGCTAAAGTCATACAAAGATGCATGGGCTATAATTCTGCTCAAGAGAGATTTATAGCTAAGTGAGAAATGGATATAAAAGTATGCAATGTATTGCTGTAGATTTTATGATAGTATACTAAGAGATTTGTTATTGACATTATAGACAGATTCTATTCACAAGTGGCAATTCAGACACATAGATTTTAAATAAATTCAAAATAAGAAAGGAATTAAGGTGTGTGGTATTGCTTTAAGAAAACTTTGCAAAGAATTATAAATAATAAATATGTAATATGTATCGATTGCCACTGAGTTTAGTGGCTTAAGAAATCAGTGCAATGGCTAAAACCCTTCTCTCTTATGGGCTAACCTGTACAGCAGATTCCATATCAGCCTTTGAAGTCCTAGATCCAAATTAGTAAGTATAACAAGTCCTTCCTAAAGATGAGTAAGGATGATTTGGAGTAGATGAACTACTCTTATAATCAGAAATTAGAAGCAGTGCTTTATAGAGTCCTGGGAGTTGGGTAGGCAGGTTCTCAGGAATTATCCTAAGGAAATCTGATTTGGTGGCTATGCATTCAGAATTCAAGGTTCATACCTGTGACGAGAGGGTTCAATCCAACAAGCAGAGTCAGTACTGCAGGTATCATGTATACCACCTGTTAGCAGAAAGAGAAGAAATACCTTGGTTAAGAAGTATGTCAAGATGCACGATGTGTGGAGATATCCAGAAAGTAAAGAAAGTTGACATCAGTTGTCGTCAGCTCCATGATTTTCTTTTAGGTTTTAGTAACTTTTTATGAAGTAGCTACCTTTTCTTATATAACTTGATCACCATGCCAGCTTGGACTCTTGCCTGCTTCCCTCCTAAATAGTCTAGTAAACTAATTGTACAATGTTTAGTTTAATTCAACACACAGCCACTGAAGACCATGCAGCTATTCCTAATACTACCATGCAGCTATTCCTAATACTACCCTTGTCTACCAGCTATTACCATAGCTGTTCCCTGAGATCATGTGGGCCACAGTGCTGAGGAAGAGATGATTGGGTGTGATTCAGGGGCATGACAGGCAATGTCAGAGTGTGATACTACTGCACTAAAAAATTCCCCCCAAACCTAACTAGAATTTCTCATTATAATTTCCACTGTTTTCACTTGTTGTTCATTCACGCAGTCAATATAATCCCAAAGCCTAAGCATTATCTCCTCTATGACACTGTGCAGTCTTGTGCATCTGTGTTGAAAGAAACTGAGGACAAAGCTGGTTGCTAGTGTCTTATGCCTGTAATCCTAGCTACTCAGGAATTCAGATCTGAGGATCACAGTTTGAGGTCAGCTTGGGCAAAAAAGCTTGTAAGCCTCTTATCTCCAATTAACCAGTAAAAAGCTGGAAATAGATATGGCTCAAATGGTAGGTGTTAGTCTTGAGCATTACGCTAAGAACATGAGGACCTAAGTTCAAGCCCCCAGTACACACACACACACACACACACACACACACACACACACACACACAAACTGTGCAAAATTCAAATGTCTCAAGACATTCACGGGACAATCCCCTCCAAAGGGCTCGAGTCACAGCAGTGATGAACATTGTAGGTTTTATGGGCTTTAGTTGGTTTCTTAAAAATAACTCTGAATCAACAGAACCATTAACCTTAAGCCTGCCTTTGCCTACTCAACTGTTTGCTAGAGTTTCTAGCTAGAAACTCATGAGGAAGGTTTGGTTGATAGAACACTCCAGAACAGCGTCCTCACTTCTGACATCTATTCAAAGAGAATATGTGACTGCTCCTTGGTAGCCATGGACAATTGGTTTCTTCACTGCACCTGCCCCCTGAGGATACTAAACTCTAAAGATGCTCAAATATTTGCATAATAACCTACACACTTCCTTCTTATGATTGCTATCATGGTTAGTGATAATGCATGTTAAATGTTCAGCACACTGAGGCACTGGGAAAATGATAGGACTCATAAGTGTGGTATGATTAAGGGGATGAGGATTGCTGGCGTTTCAACGGGAAGAACTATCTCTGGAAAGTTTAGCAGTTACACACATAAACACACTTTGTATTAGGAAATAAAGGTTTGATGTTTTAAGTTTTTCCAGCAGGAGGAGAGGCAACCCGATCAACCTGTGTGATTTGTGCACTTTACACAACTCTACCAAATTAGGGGGACATTTTTTTTAATTTGAAAGGGGCCCCTACTCACCACCCACAGCTCTGCATCTGGATCGTTAACCTGGAACACGAAAACATCACCATGTTAGTGGACATCTGGATCATTGACCTGGAACACGAAAACATCACCGTGTTAGTGGACATCTGTTCCATTTTCTAGGTTTGGTTTAGCTCTTTCTATTCATTTGCAAATAGCCAGACGCTGCAGCATTCATAGTCTAGCAACTCTGGACTGCTGGGCTCCAGACTGAATGCAGCAGGTGGCTCTAACACACCCACAGACTCCCCCGCCCCAAGAATTGCCTCAAACTCCTGAATGGGTGCATTCTAAGGACTCTAAGGACGATCCCACAAGCAGACCAGACAGGATGAGGTCAGGCATGATCGGAAAGGGTTTTGCTCCGGGTCTCCCCGTCTCCCCTCAGGCCGAAGGGCCGGGCAGCTTCCCTCACGGTCCCATCGGAAGTGACAGTGGCAGCCTGGGGTCCCCCAAAACGTACCCCCACTTCTGGTCCTCCCGGCACCCCCGAACGCCCCTGCGGCCCCGCAGCCAGGCCCCGCAGCCAGGCCTGGAGTCCCCCGGCCGCACGCCAGCCCGGCTGACCTGCACGAAGGCGGCCAGCGCGAAGAAGGCGGCCATGAGCGCGTTGCAGGCCCGCCACAGTGCGCGCGCCCCGGGCACTGCCGCCTGAGGCGCCATGGCTCTGGAACCCGCCCGGGAAGAGACCGGGGGATGGGACGGGGGGCGTGGCCGGACACAGGGGGCGTGGCCGGACACAGGGGGCGTGGCCGGACACAGGGGGCGTGGCTTTTGGACGTGACCTAGGCCCCGAGCTAAGGCCAGGGGCGGGGTCTGGTGGGACGTGGGCGGAGCGAGGCTCGGGGCGGGGCCTCGGGGGCGGGGCCTGGCTTCTGTTGGCCTTCTCGCGTTCTTGGCGGTCTTTACCTCAGTGGCTCGCTTGGCATCCTCTCCAGATGACCTCACTACCTTGAGGCGACTTAACCCTCGCCAAAGCTGTGGCCCTAGGCCTCACTCTGCAGCTGTATCCAGACTTCCCCTAGGGCGAGAAGCGTGTCACAGGTGGGGAAAGCGAGTTTCACAGGGCCTAGAGGTGGGATTCCATGGTGGTTGGTGGAAGGAAGGCCTGTTTGAACCTGGCCAGGTCTAGATCCAAAGCCCTGTTCCACCTAGGCTAAGGTTACCTTCCTCACATGAAAATGAACCCCAGGAAATGAAAAAGAAAGAGAAAGGGAAAAGCAAAGGAGAAAAACGAGACGTGTGTATATGTTTTTCTGGTTAGTATTTATGCATTTCTTTCCCAGAGCTCAGGAACTTTCAAAGGCCTGTAAGCATTATGGTAATTTCTAGAGAGATGCCAGTTACATCAACATCCGATATGGTTCACAGCTTCTATACAGACAGCCTCGTTTATCTTCAGGGCTTTTATTATAAAAGGTATTTACATATTATACATATTTACAATTCTCCCTCACCAGCAAAACCAACAAAATTTCCAACACACGTTGCTCATGAATTTCTTATGAACGAAAAGACACTGAAATATTCACTGTTCTCTCTCACTTGTTACAGTCTTTTTTCATTTTGTAATTTACCCATCTGATGAATTCCTCTCTAGGCTCATTTACACATCCATAGAACTCATCATTTTTGCCCTTAAAGAGTCTTTATTGCTTCAAATCATAAGCTTGGGTGCCTGTCCCCCTTTCGTTTTAGCTGAATCTCCTCAAACTGTGTAGAAGAATCTTTCTTCCCATTTAGTTCCATCCCTCTCAGAGAAATACTCAATTTTAAGAATGTCTGGGGCAAGATGTAGATTTTCCAATTTGGCTAGATGGGAGGCCTAGGTAGAGTATTGCAATCAGAGGCTGGCACTAGAGGAAGCTATCTGGAAAAAAAAATGAACAAATATGGAAAGGACTGGGGGCATAGCTCAAGTGGAAGAGCACTTGTATAGCATGTGTGAGGCTTTGAGTTCCAACAAACAAAAGTGTCTGGCCTGCGGATTTGGTGTGCATATTGGTGACTGGATACATTGGCAGTGGTGTGGCTGGACAGCCTCTGTCTGGAGTTCTGAAAGACTCTTTGGAATACCACCAATAATCAGAACTGAGGATGGGAGACAAGCCACGGTCCCCCTGTGGTCCTGTTTATTAAATGAAAAGAGTAATTGGGAGAGGGCTTCTCATGGGCTGGAATGGGCCCATCCCCTATTCTTTTGCTGAGGTTCTGCCACCATTGTCTCAGAATGTCAATGTATTTGGAACTAAGGATTTTTACAGAGGTGAACATGTCAAAGTGAGTTCATGAGGGGTGGTGCCTATTTCAACAGACTGGTGTCTGTTGAGAAGAGATGCTAAGTACCTATAGGGGTATAACAGGAAGGACCACATGAGGACATAGGAGAAATTTGAAACTGCAAGTCAAGAGAATGGCCACAGAGGAAACCAGACCTGCAGATAGATACCTTGATCCTTGGACTTCAGCCTTTCCATCTGTGAGAAAATGAAATTCTGTTGTGTAAGTCCTGCTCCCAGTTTGTCATGCTTTGTTAATATAGAGAATAATTACAGCACCTATGAAGGAAGAGTGGTTTGAGGTGCTGGTAGGCTGTTGTGTGTTCTATAAGCACCTTGGAATGTTCTACTGTTCACTATTGTCTGGGATTTTCGGGGTCACTGCAGCCAGCATTTGGTGTTTTTGCCTAAGAAAGAGTTATTTTTCTTGCTTCTAAGTCCAACTCTTGATTATTGGGGTCATCACTTCCCACTATTAGCACATGTAGAGTACAGGGCCATCTCAGGATTAGGTAAGTGGCCATACATTGACAGTTGTTTTTTTACCCATTCTGACCACTGAAACTGGGTGTCAGAACATGAGTCAATTGCTCAGATTTACTCCTAGGACCTATATTAGTAGGGTTGCTAGATAAAATAAGTTAAATTTGCATTTCAAATCAATAATGAAAAACTTTCAGGTATAAATGTGTCCCAAATATTGGCTAATTCTGGTAATCCTGGCTGGACTAGAAAGCTGTGGAATGTATAGTGTGATCCTGGAGGTATGAGAGAAAGTTTTTCATGGAGAAAGCCTTGCTGAATATAGAGAAAGCAGAGCTGAGATACCAGAAAGGGTTGGAACCTGCTGATATCACTGGAGGTTTTGCATCTTGCCATGCCTGAAGCTGGGAATTACCATTCCAAGTTTAGTCTCTTTTCTGCCTAAGCCTGTGTGGTCCAGACTTTTGTCAATGGCAACAAAGAACAATGACGTGTCAAGTCACTATTAAGTCCTTGAAATCTTCTAAAGCCTGCTGTTGCAGGTTTGTGCAGACTGTCTAGAAATGGTAGAAGAAAGCAAGCAAGCTCAGGCTAAGAAACAATGAAAACAAATTTAAATGGATCCAGTATGATTTCTGCTTGAGGAATGATTTTGGTTTTTCTTTTTAATGAAAGACAGTAAGGTTTTGGAAGGAACAAAGGCCTGTCAAAGCTGGCTTCCTTTTGTGGAAAGGATGGTACAAAGAACTTGTCGTGCTAGGCTCTCCCAGCTTGATCAGAGACAACATCATAAAATCAGTCAGAGGCACTGGTGTGAGGGGAGACAGACCAGCTTCTCTGCCAGAACCCAAAGGTAAGGACAGGACATAAACACCTGTCTTCTGAGACAGATGTCTAGGCTAACTGTATAGGGGGTGATGTGGGCTGAAAGTCAGTTCACAAGCTCCATTCTCATTTTGCTGTGATTCTACAGTAATAGTTCTAGAGAACTCTCCCCCCCCACACACACACTCCTGTGTGTAGAGAACAGAGAAAGTGTTGATCTGCTGGCTCAACACCAAGCCTGGTGTGTTTCTAGGTGTCTATTGATAGAATGCAGTCTCTTGTAGAGACTGTGTCCAGCATCTGCCTTGCCAGCTATAGTCAGCTCTCCTAGAGTGTGGGGGCAGGGTGGGCCAAGTCTGAAACGGAGTCATCACTTGTGAGTGGATCTTGTTCTCAGCTGGGTGTTCTAAGTATGCATGCTGGTGACAATCACAAGATGACATGTTGGAGGAACAGGTACAGGGCTCAGGAGTTCCTGCCTATGCTAGTTACTGCCCCATCTGCCCAGCAGGTCAACCAACAAGTACCAGGCATTCATCTGTCTAGTCTTTGCTGGCCCCATGTGAAGGAAGTATTGGAGATGATAGCAGTTAGAGAGAATGATGGAACAGTTCTACTCTGTGTCACAAAGGCTACTTTTAAAGTGTCTCAAACCAGATACAAATGCTACCACCCCAGCAAGGATAGGGACACATTCCTACAAAGCCCATCTAGGTAGCAAAACTTAGTTCCAATGATGAAAAGCTAACTCAGATTCATTGTCAACCAAAGACATCTGGTTCAAAGAATGTTCCTCCCCCCCATGCCTCCTTTGGCCACTGGAAGGAGAGTAACTTCAGTGTGCCCTTTTCACCAGTGTGAAACTCTCACTGGACTATTGGTTTTATACATTTATTACCCATTCAGTATTTCCTATGCTCAAGCGCTGAGCTCATAACTGAAGATGTGACTAGACATAGACACACCATCTTTGACTCTGTGAAGTTGATAACAGAAGGCTAAATTACACAAATAATTGGGCAATCAGGCAGGGAACTGTGAAGGAAGAGACAGGGAGTACTGCTGTAGGACGTGCTTAGTAGTTAGGGGGTCTGACTTCTTCTGAGAGGCCTCAGAAAGCTCCCCAAGAGCGTCTCAGCTATAAGCTGAGGGGTGAGTAGAAGAAAGGGAGTTAAAAGTCATGAATCAAGCTCCAGGCAGATTGATGCTGGTATGAAGAGGCCTTGGGGTCTGAAAGTCACAGGGCCAGGCAGTGATGGAGGAGTACCAGTGGGGGGAAGTGGAGGCTAGCAAGGTACAGGGGTGCTGAAGAGCACTGGGTACTGAGCAGGGGTCACATGTTAAGAGGCCTGCTTGGGCTGTGGTGAAGAGATTGTACCAGAGAGAGCCCAGAAGAGAGACAGGATTGGCTAAGAGGCACTTGAGGACAACCAGAAAAGTAATGATGCTGGCTGACTAGCAATGACCCTGGAGAGCAGGGAGCTCAGATGATCAGGTGGGGAGATAAAACCAACAGAGCTGTAAGTCAGAAACTTGAAACATGCCTCTGTTCTCTATCTGATGACAAAATTTAGTTGTCAAGCCTGCTTGGCTAAGGAGAAACTAGAAGAGACAGCAAATGCATAGTAGAAATGGCAGACCCCTTTGTCTCAATGGTGGCTGCCTTGGTTCCATAAAGAACCCTAGACTGCCAGCCTTTGTTACTGGCTTATCTGGTGTCAGGCGTATTTCTTTAGTATCTTTTGTTGGCAATGACAATGTTCTCCTACCTTTCCTTGTGATACTTAGCTTTTGTCTTTTACTGATTATTTGGCATTAACACATGCTGTTCATACTTCTGGATTGGATCACAAATTATAGGAGGTGTATCTGATGTACCTGGGTATCATCTGCATCCAATGGATGGGTGAGAAAGCATTTATATGCTGTGTAAATGAAGGAAGAGAGGCAGGCGGCATAAATGAATACAGTCATAATATTCAACATATACATGTGAATGGAACCGGGTATCTTGAAGGCATGGATGAGTTTGGGATAGATGGGGGAAAACAATGAAAGGCATGATATTGATCAGGATGCATTA